GATGACGACGATGATGATGACGATGATGATGACGATGACGATGATGACGACGATGACGACGATGATGATGACGATGATGACGATGATGACGATGATGCAATTTAAATATTAATTTTACAAATGGAGCTTGTGACGGACGGTTGTGGTGGAAATGACGGTTGGTTTGGTGGTCGAAGTTGGCATTCTACGACGATTGAGGTAGGCAGCTCATGACTGCATGGACGGAGATGCCGACGGACTCGCCAACTTTGTCATCGAAGTTACACTCGGCTTCATCCGCGTCGTCAGCATCGAGTGCGCCGTCCAGGCATGCGATCTACCCTCAACGACAAACCGACAGCCACGACTCGTGAATTAAAATACCCTCCGCTTAGATTAGTTTTCATCATCGTCGTCATCATCGTCATCGTCATCATCGTCATCATCGTCATCGTCGTCATCGTCATCATCATCATCGTCATCGTCTTTCTTCTTTTTCAATGCAGCAGCTCGAGCCCTCTGCTCGTTTTGCAATTCCCAAATCGTGGCTTCCTTGCCCGTCTGGGTGCATCCATACATGGCTTTGACTGTTGCGACGTCTTCCGCGCTCATTCCCTTGCGCTGGCCGAGTACACTCGACGCCTCCTTGTCGCAGTGCTTGGGGAGCGGCTCCACGCACCCCTGGGCTTCGCTCTCCACAATGTCACAGAACTTGACGTCGTTGTACTTTGCTTGAGGGATGCACACGCCGGCCGCTTGCGAGTAGTGCATGATAGAGCCAACGTCGTACTTGGTGTGGACCGAGTCGACCTTCATCATGTAGTTGTTGCGCGCAACCTTGAGCTCGGACGGAAGGATGATGATGTTGCGACGCGGGTGCACGTGCTCGTGGTATACGCCTAGGCTGTGGAATACCTCGTGGACGAAGCGGCCGTAGCCAGGGGCGAAGCACTCGTCCTGCACGTTGAAGTTTTGCCCGCCCTTCGCTTGGTAGCCGACTGCAGCGAAGCACCCAGGCTTGTCATTCTTGATCGAAATATAGTTTTTGCAGTTGCCGCACAGGTTGGCTTTGTTCGGGTGGGCTTTGCACTGCTGGACTGAGAGGAATGTCAGCCCAGTGAGCTTGAGGTGTTCCCACCCATCTTGCATCAACTTCTTCTTGTCCGGTGTAAACTTCGAGTCGTACTGGTAGCACAACGTGTGGTTGGGCCATAGTCGAATCTTCTCCGGGTCGATCATCACGCCCAACTTGCGGTTCGCGTTCGCCTTGTGGCAGTTCACTGTCGGCATCTCCATCGCGTCGGCAATTCCGTTGTCTTCGTGGCATGTCAGCACACCATTGTCGCACCGGGCGTAGATGTGCCCGGGCGCGCCGACGATGCCCCACGCCGTGAGGACGTGGTTGTTGGGCATGTACGTACCCGCCTGGATCGCGCCGATCTCATGCGTGATGCAACTACCCTTATGAGGATGGTACGCACTCACGGACGCAGCCACCAACGCGACACCCGCCAGCACCTTCATCGCCAAACTTGAAATGGTCGCGGTCCATGTCCGTCTTTGTGTCGTCAATCGCCGGTAGTTCGTTTGTGTGAATCCGAGCATTCCCGAGCATGAAAAAAAGCACATACAGTTGGCAAGTAAATGGCAAATAATTTTTTCCCGACAATTCGACGAATCCGACAACCGTGGTTTTTAGCCAATCGCAACGAGCGGATCCGGTGTCACCTATGGGGATGCGAGGCACGAGGTGCGCTCGCTCGTTGATGGGGGAGATGGAAGTGCGGAGTGACGCGAGCCATGAACAGAGCCGCGGCAAACTGATCGCGCCTAACGTTATCACGTTCGCCATCGCACGGACAGCACCTGACGAGACGATAGCACGATCGTGTTACATGTGTTGTAGTGCGAAATAAAGTGCAGGCGAGGTCGCTCCATCTCGCACCTGAGGGCTACGCGAACCGTTTGCGCTGTGGTCGAGACAATGGGAACGGCGCTAGGTGCTATTGCAATGGACACTAAAGTTTCCCAGCACGAGGTGACAAGCCTTGACGATATTGTTGCGAAATGTGGACGCCACACGACTTGTAGGGCTCGCTTGCGATTGGTGAATTGCCACGACAATCAACGACACAGAGCCCACATTGCCCAGCGAGGGCGCATTTGACATGGTGCGAACAGTGGGTGTCATGGCCGCCGTGGCGGCTGTATCATGGCACCAACTTACTCCAGTCAGTGGCAGCGGCATTGGCCATCCCCACGTTGACCTCAGTCGGTCGCTGCGTAGCCATCGCCACCACTCCAAGTCGACAACACCTCCACCTTCCCATCCCAAACACCACCGAAAACACCCAGCACCTGGCGTCGACTGGTCCCTGTCCTGTGAGTTCGAAGGCCAGAAGCTTCGAAATCGGCAGACGACACAGATTGCCGGGACCAAAGGACACAAGGGCAGCTTGTACGCCGTGTGTCTCGATGGCAAACTGGTATGCCATGAAGAACTCGGAATTGCAGACACACCAGCGCTAGCCGACCTCAACTGCACGAGGGTTGCGCCTCGTCGCCGTCTAGGTACTTGAGTTGGGCTGGCTTCGATGGCTAACTCGTGTGCCAGGTCTCGTCGTGGAGTCCCCGCAGGTGCAAACGTGGCCCCAGGGGGTCGTGTGCTACACGATCGCGGCCAACTTTACAGCGGCGCAGCTCGCTCAGATCGAAAACGCGATGGCTCTGGTGAAGGACGAGACCAAGATCCGCTTTCTCGACATTGCTGGGTGCTCGGACAATGTCACGGTTGGCGGCCAGCCCATCTGCGGCGGCTGCAAAAACTATGCCAACATTAACAACTGGGACGAAGGGTGCTACTCTGCCGTCGGGTACCAGAACACTGGGGCGCAAGCATTCAACCTGAACGCTGCGTGCTTTGACGATCTCACCGGCACTGGGCGCGTTGTCCACGAGGTTGGCCACACGATCGGACTCTACCACGAGCACTCGCACCCCGACCGCAAAGTCATCGTCATTCCCGGGGAACTCAAGGTGTCCCGGAATAATTACCAAGTGCTCTTGCCCGCTACCAAGCTCACGTACGACGTTGCTTCGATCATGCACTACGGATCGACGGCGGGGCTGTGCATCCCGAAAGACGGTACCCCTCCGCCTATCGACCACGACCTCTCCTCACGACGTTTGAATCCCATTTGTCCGTGGTAGCCTCGATCAAGTACTGCGATGTGTCGCAGTCGCCAGAACAAGACCAGTGCGTGATCCCGACACGCGCCGCATGTGATGAAAAGGCGTCCCAAGTGCTGGGGCAGCGCATGAAGCTGAGTCCAGTCGACATGGAGTCTGTCGTCAAGCTGTATGGGAATGTCAAGTTGACTCCGGCCGATGAAGACACGTTGCAACGTGCGTCCCAGGACGCGCTCTCGAGAAAGGTGAACGGTCGGCCAAACCCGCCGCCGCCGTCGCCGCCGCCAACCGCGCCGTCCAAAGGATTCTTCGACTTCCTTGCCGAGTTGACCGGGTGGATTTCCTAACTTCGTATAAACAGGAATCCCCATGCTGATATGTTGAGCACAGATTCCTCCGCCCTCCGTCGTCGTCGACTAACCCACCCAGATACCTGGACATGTGCAGGATCCCCTTCTCCACTCCACGATGAGCCGCAAGGTGAACTCTTCCTGTCTGCGCCAACCTGCATCGCAGCCACCACACCACGTTGGACGTGGGCCCGAGGAGCATTGCAATATCCGCAAGATTCCTTCGTCATCGACTTTTCAATGGGCCGCATGGGGGAGATGGAGGACTGGGTGAATTCGACCGCACATGATTTAACTTACACTTGGCCGCGTAGGGACAGACACGGCAGAAGCAAGCATGTCATGTGGAGTTGCCATCGTCAGTGGGGTTGAGCAGATTGTCGTGCAATATTCGCAACCCGACTTCGGACGAGTCGTGGAGGTAGCTCATGAATTCCTCCGTGACGAGGCCAACGGGAGCGTTGGCGGCGTTGGCGAGCGGGCGGAGGAACGAAACCATCTTGGCCGACGTAACCTGCGTCGTCGGGTTTGCATACACGACGAGGTATCCGTTTTCGTCGTGGCGCGTAAAGTTGTCGCCTGCAGGGTACCGCTCGTCGTCCAAGAAGCACCGATAGACGATCGTGACCGAGTCTTGCGAGATGGCGCGGTGGCACACGGAGTACGATTCGACGAGGGGCTGGCCCTGCGCAAACTGGCACTGGTACCGCGTATACAATGTGTTGGGATCGATTTCTTCAAGCACCTGCACCCGCCATGGCGATGAGTACATGCAGGGTCGACCTGTGCATGCTCTTTACCTCACATCGCGCTGTTGGGTCGTGGTGCATGAGCAGGCTCAGCTGGTAGTGGATGAGCTGCCATATAGCCGTCGCGACTGCGCCAACGCTGAACGAAGGAAACTCAAAGACACGGATCACTTCAATCTCGATCTTGGAATGGTGTGTGACTTGGGGCTGGAACCGCACGAATGTTTCGGTGTGCGGGAGTGGCATGATCGGGGGCGACAGGTGCTTGGCCACCATGATGCTGTCGACCTCGCTCAAGGCCGTGGCAATCGAGTCCCGGAAGCGCCGTTCGCGGGCAATCGGGTCGTTCGGGAGGAAGAAGAGAGGGTTTGTCGGTTGCTTCCGGGCAAATACCTAGGAACCAAAGACTTGGGTCACAATCGTTATCGAGTCGTCGGTTGAAGTGACGCACGCAAAGAGCGGACTGGCTCATGAAGAAAGACTCGAGCAACTTTAGAGTTTCCATCTGGGACAGGAGTTTGTCGCGCAGCACCGAGTTCTGGTCCTCGGCATCGCGGAGGAGGGTTTCTTGGGCCTTGGCTTCGCGCTTCCGGCGTTTTGCCTCCGCTTCTTGGCTCACTTTGCGTTCGTGCAACTGCATGAGTTCCACTTCGAGTGCTCGTTTCCGTGATATCAAATAATCAACTTCGTTCTGTAGTCCAGTGAGCATGACATCAACGGATGCATTGCTACCTTGCGCCGTTCGCGGTAGTACACACTCGCCTTCTTCACGGTTTTGTCCTTGTCTGCATCCACTCGATTGCTCTTCGCGGAGATGTCGGGGCTGCTCAAGGTGAATTCAACCAGTTTCTGCGTCTCATGCTCATCCAGGAAGCTCTCCAAGTCGAATGTGCTGTCCATGGCGCGTTCCTCCGACGCAGCACGAGCTGCGCTAGTGTTTGACTGCACTGCACATACTCTGACACATCCGGATATTCCATGTCTTATCCGAATATGTCCATCGTGCTGCAGCATATGGAAACGTTGGGAATGCGCGTTGGTTGCGGCTTCGTGTTGATCTTGGTGTCCGAGCGCCACGGAGACGCCGCTTCTGAGATCGTAAGCCATTCGTAATGGCCAGCTTTTCGTGGGCTTTGTCGATCCGTGCAACGCACCTCGACACTGCTCTCACTCGCTGTGGGCATGTCTGAACTTGACGTGTGGGTGGAAGTCACTGAGTCACAAACTATAGCACTATACCCTTCCCACACAAAGGCCTTTCAGGGATTGCCTGAGATGGAAATATGTAGTTATTCCACTAGCGTTGACTCTCGCGAGCGCTACACGTTGATCCGTCGGCTGTTCGCGCCCACAAGTTGGACTGGAGTAGTTGAAGGGATTTTTCGTAGGAGCTTAGCGTAGAGCGTGACGTCAAGCGCGTCCAAACGAATACGGTTCACTGGTTCATGATGCAGCAGCTACTCTGACTGGTGTGAACTCACTGTAAGGATCGCCGAGAAGGCGAGCTCTTGGGCGCTTCGGTTGGAGGTGGACGGCCATCGCCCCTCGAAGAGGTGGGAACAACCGTTGAAGAATTTTTGCAACGGTGTTCAAGATTGATTAAATTTCGCCCCTTGGAAACAAAATTCTCTGAAAATTGGTGAATAATTTTGATTAATCGCAAAATACACTGAACAACCTCTTGGTTTACGTGTACGACGCAATATTTTCGTGAATCGACCTTCCATTTTCTATGAATTTTTTACTAAAATATTGTGAAAAAGCGCTTGGCTTCAGTTGGCATGCCTGTCGCATTGCATTATTTGCTCTGTCCGCATTCTGCAACATGGACATGCCAGACTGCAGCTCTGTTCTTGGTGCGTCACGCCGCATTGGCGAAATGCATCTGATCTCCATGCGTGCCATGTAGAACTGGGTGAAGCGCTGAGACAAGGTCGCTTGGACGATACTCCGCTTCGCCGCACCACCCCCTCGATTGCTTCGTACGTCGACTCATCCATCGAGTCGAGATATGACAAGTGGCGGCGATGCGACGACGCGATTGCGCACTACAAAGCAAATCAAACGTCGGAAACTCGACAGAAGGACTATCTGCAAGTCGTACTGTGCTCGGGACGTGCGCTGTGTCCGGACGTGACGGAGTCGTGGGCAAATTGCGTCAAGCACTGGAAGGGCGACCACGAGCTGCAATGCCAGTTTATCAAGCGAATGGTGGAGCGCTGTATGCGCGGCGAGGCCACCGAGATGCTGCGCCTCATGGACCCTGCCAAGTTCCCCAAGTCGTAGCAGTCAAGTCTAGATTAAACCAAGTATGCACAATATAGAGCGTGGATGGATTATTGCGACTACTGCACAAGCATCTACTGCACGACGTAGGACTCTGTCGACAGGAGCTGATCAAATCCGTACTGGACAGGGCTTTGATCGGCCGTCTTGAGCACGTGCTGCACGGCCAGGTCGCAGTACGTCGTGCGCGAGTAGAACGACACTTGAATCGGGAAGTACGCATCCAAGTTTTGGCCGCGGATGGTAAACTCGAGCGACCCTGTGCTGTTCCTAAAACACAATCACGACATCGCCACGGCATGAGAACGTGCCATGGCGCCATCCACTTCTTACGACGACGAGATGGACGGAATGCGCCAGAGCACCACATTGTCCGTCGGGTTGTGGCGGTATTCGCCATCGATTTGCGAAATGTGCGGCGGGTCCACTACCCCTGTCGGGACTTGAATCACAACGTTCTCGAGGACCATGTCGCGGTCCATCGAGTACTCCAAGCTGACGGTCATCTGCACCCATCCCGTCAATCCAGTACACAACAACGACCGACACGTCGTATACCTTGCCGTTCGCCTCTTCCTCGGGCCAGCATGTGATGTTGAGCGGAAGGAATGACTCGTCCTGGGTCTTGATCGCCCATCTCAAGACGGCAACGCGAGAAGCTGGGAACGGCTTCGTGTCGTCCTTCAACGCCAGGATCGACTGCGCTTCAAACAGCTTCTTGTCCACCTTTGGATGCGTCTACGTCAAACTCGGTAAGCCACCAGAAGAAACAAGCCTGTCGAGTCTCACTTGAAAGTTCACCCCGTTCGCGGTGGAGTGTTGCAGATGCAGCCGGCACGCTGAACTCTCTGGGTCGTTGCCAGCGACAAACAAACTGCCCTTCACTTCAAGTTGTTCGACGGCACCGTCGCGGTTAAGTTGCACCGACACCTTTTCTTCGATCGCGAGCGACACTGGGTCCGAGCTCACAGCTACTTCGGGCAATTTTGTCTCGGACGGCGCGGCGATACTCGCTGCAGCCGACACAACCGGCGGAATGTCCTTGAGGTCGTCTTCGGCAGCCATTGCGTCCAGGAAACTGCTGCCCTTCTTGCTGCCGCCACCGAGCTTCATGCCTACACACGACGGGTTGAACAAAGCTTCGCATGGGCCATGCCGACCAGAAGACGCCTTTGACGTGGCGAGCGAAGACGATGACTTGACAGGCTCGGGGGTGTACTCCTTTGGCGCGGACGACCCGAAAGACGACTGTGACGAGTACGAAGACGCCGTGGGGGACGCAAAGCCACTGCCAAAACCAGTATAGCCAGAGGCCTTGGACGTAATGCCCGCGGCGCGCTCTTGCCGCGCCTTTTCGCGCTGCTCCTCTTTGATGCGCGCTTCCTGGCGCTTGCGATCGGCGGTTGCGTTTTCGAGCTTTGTCTTTTGGATCATGAGATGGAGCTTTTCTTCGTGCGATTCCATCTCCAGGTTGGTTCGAATTTGCTGCAAGTTGATCTGCTCGGCGTGCCCTCCCGCCGTCAAGAGCTCGTCAAACCCGAACACAAGGTCAAATTGCTTTTCCCGAATGTGCGCCTCGGTCAAGGGCCCGCAGATGTCTGGGACCAATTTTGCCATCAACTGCATCGTGTGCAAGTCTTCCACAATGTTGCTCGTCTTGTTCGTGATGAGCAAGAGAAAGAACGATTCGATCGGTTGGTATACGTAACGCACGCTCTCCGTGTCGATGAACGTGTGTTGGCGGGTCTCGCTCGCCAAGAGCTTGGGAAACGCCGTCAAGAGGCCCTAAAGTTCTCGTCAACGTGGCGCCTCGTATTCCAGTTCATATCGAAGCTTACCTCTAGGCGAATTCGTGACACTTCAACGAACTGGCGCGCCACCATGACTACACAACGATCCAAGATGGGACGGTCAAGCCTTGCGGATGAATCAAAGTGGTGATATCTTGACGACCGTACCTTTGCCGTTCTTCGAGAGGAGCGCAGCAGACAAGACAACCTACGCCAACGCGGCACACACATGAATCTCTGCAGCACGATGGGTCCACCCTCGTACCATCGTGCACGGACAAGAATGCTGGGGTCAAATGTCGTCGGTCACTGGGGGAGCGCTGGAAAATGAGGTGGGGTGGGAATATCATCATTTTAACCAATTAGATTGCTCCACATCGCGAAAATAGACTTTATTATGTCCAATCAATTGCGACCAACAAAATCCACCGCACACAGAAAACGATCCATATGACGGTATGAGGGTGTACATGCTTAACGAGGCAGTCGGCTACGTGGCGGTTGAACTGCCGTGTGACTGCGAGAAAAGCATCTCCGCCGCCTTCGATGCAGCCACATCGTCAAAGCCCATCACGGATGTCCGCTTTTGCATCATGCGGCGGTAAATTGGCTCGACTTGGGTTTCGTCGTTGACGCAGATGTTGAGATCGCGTATAAGGCCGTCGTCGATGCTGTAGCACCATCCGTGAACGCTCACCTTGTGTCCTCGCTTCCAAGCGTTCTGGACAATCCGAGTGTGGCACACCTACGACGGATCGACATACAGATCATTGTCAGTGTCTGGTCGACATGAGTCCATTACGTTGTAGACAGATTTGGCAACATTCGCTTCCGTCAGCACGTTTAGGGCTTCCTCTTTCCCGAGATCTACACCATCCACCGTCATTCCTAGCTTGTGTCGCGAATGAACTTCTACCCCCAAATTTCTTGCGCTGCTCAATGTACAAGTCCTTGATGTTGCGGATCCAGTTGTCGACAATCCCAAATTCTTGATGGCTGAGCGCCGCTTTGACTCCCGAGCATCCGTAGTGACCGCCTAGCGCATGGATACATGAGAGACTTTGGTCCCCGCGTGCGCAGATCGGATTGCGTACACACAACGATGTGTTTGACTTTCAAATGCACGACGGCATACTCGATGACGGAGAGGCAGTTCATGTCGCTGTGCACTAGATTTAGATCGCCGTGAGCATGATCGCCGATGGAACTACACAACTTACCGACTTCATTCGCGAAGTTGGCATGGACGAAGACTTCACCCGGCTTCAGGTTGAGGATTTGGTTGGGAGGAACACGTGAGTCGGAGCATCCTGATGCGATTCATCAACCATGCGATTGTGACCACGACGTACCGATCCATAGGATCTCAGGGGATTGCTGCTTGGATAGCTTGTAGAAGAAGTAGGGCGATGTGTCAACGATCGACGCGGCCCACAAACGGTTTCGCTCGAGGAGTTCGTGGAGGCCCTTCTTCCCATCCGATATCTCAATATTCGAAGTGACTACCGCTTTCACACCGCTCGGCGCTTGCTCTTCTTCGAGAACTAACTCCTTTGACCCGTGCGGCGAGTCGAAAAGCTCTGGCGACGGCATGCAACCTTTCTCGACGCGGTGGTCCATCGCTGACCCACTTGGCCAGCGCATGCGATCTTTGCATTATCCGGAAGACACCTCAAGTGAATCCATTTTATCCGGCGGGTCTCACTCTCTTCAACCGTCGCAATCGTCGTTTTGCGCCCACATTGGACCCCGAACGTGAATGCTTCTCCGCCGCGTCCTGGCTTCATCTAGCCGTCGATGGTTGAGTACCGATCCAGGGGGCGGACGCGTAGCACCAGTGGTGTGCTCACCAGCACTGGTTGTGTTTGACAAGGACGGCACGCTCATCGACTTCAACCTCATGTGGGGTGGATGGGTCGAGTCTGTTGCATGGAAAATGGAAATGACGACGCGACGACCGGTGCGCGAGAAATTCTTCGACGCGATGGGTTACGATTGGGTAGGCCGTGCGATTCGGTCGAAAGGCGCGCTGTGCTGCACCCCCATGGGCGAACTGTACCAAATTGCCCGCAAAATCATGGTTGAAGAAGGGATGTCGGCCTCGGACGCGGACATCGCCCTTGACAAAGTGTGGCATTTTCCCGACCCCATCGACACGTCGCGCCCTCTCGGCGACATTGTCGGTCTCTTTCTCACGATCAAGCAAATGGGGATGAAGATTGCGATCTGCACTGCGGACAATCGCGCCGCCACTGTCCAGACCATGAATCATCTTGGGGTGTCCCACCTGGTGGATGCCATGGCGTGTGGAGATGACCAATTGCCGGCGAAGCCAGCCGCTGAGCAGGTGTTTGTCTGCTTGGCGTTTTGCTGTACTCACCACACGCCCCCAGATTTGGACTCTGTGCCACAAACTCGAAGTGGATCCCTACAATACAATTATGGTATCCCAAAGCCCCATCATGTGGCATGAAGTTTGATGCATTAGGTTGGCGACACAAGCACAGACATGCGCCTAGGGTTGAATGCGGGCTGCGGTCTGTCCGTAGGCATTCTCGGCGGCGCGTCGTCGCTAGACGATCTCGCTCGCGAAGCCGACGTCCTCATTCCGTCTCTTGCCAAGTTGCCCAAGATCCTGTTTCAGTACAGCCGACAAAGTGCCGCGGCTCACACAGTCTCGACGACTCCGAGTCCACGCGTCAATGGCGCCGTCGAACCACCGGCATCCCAGCACCACCACTGACAAACATCATGCGAGGACGTGTGGCACACCCTACTGAATAACGCAAGACGTGTTTCACCGATACTTTATGCTTGTGGATGGCAAGGGTTGAAGCTGCCTTGAGTTGACGTTGGTGGGAGTGAACTTCTCGTCGTTGATGGCCAACGAACCTGGCTGCAGCCCAATTAAGCCACTGCCTGGCCGAACGATCATCGCGATGTGATGCGATGGCTTCTTCGTTTGCAACGTGTACGTGGCGCTGCCTACATCCAACGCCCCCACGAATTGCCGTCGATCGTCGCAGGAAAGAAGCTCGACATACCTTCTAGCTTGGAGTCTTTTCCATCTTCCGAGAACGACACGCGCTTTTGCCCGGCCTAGAGCACATGCAAGGATGGAATGCAGCGCCCTCGACGCTCATCAGTACCTTTCGATGAGGGTGCCCGTCATCGATGTCGTTGCCGTCGTCGACGATGTCCGGGAGATCGTCGTCGCCACCAGCCCGTTTGATGCGCTTGAGTTCACTTTCAGGGATCGCCGACGTTGGAGGCGCTTCGTACGGCTCGTCCGGGCGTGACTGTGCGGTGGACGAACTCACACTCGAGTATCGCCGTAGATCTGGCGCGGTGATGGCGCTTCGATGCGGCTTTGTCTTGTCCAAGTTGTCTGACTGGCTTGACACGGACGCTTTCGACGACGTCGGGTGGAGGATTCCGTCGTCGTCGTCGTTGCCGTACTGGACAGTGGATGACGTCGACCGACCTCCAGTCACAGTAACCCGACCGAGGGATGGGGCCGCAGGTGGTTGCTTCTCGGTCAGGTTTGTGTACCTGCCACCCTCGTGGGGAGTGGCGTACTTGGCGCTGGAGTTGCCCATGGCAGTTCGTCCACGTCCGTCCTCGAGTGGTGGCGGTCGTTTCGATGACAACGACATTATCAGTTACATCGTGTCCGCTCCATCTACTTTTCAACTACTCGTCATCGACTACAATGTCTGGAAAGTCATCGCCATCATCGTCATCGCCGATATCTTCGCTCTCCGCGGCCGCTTCCGTCGCAGGCTCCTCGTGGAGCACGTCGTCATGCTCGGCGCTGGCAACTGCTTCATTCAAGTCGTCCTCGGCCACTTCGGTGGCACTTTCTAGTTCGTCGGCAAGCACAGGCTTCTCGTCGTCCATGTCGTCTTCGTCGCCTACTTCAGCGACTGCCACGGCATCGTGGACCTTGACCTTCTTTGCAAGTTGCGCTGCTTCTAACATAGGCGTGTTGCTCGTCGTGCGGTCATTCCACTAGTTGTACCTGTTTCCTCGTCGTTGGTGTTGGATTCCTCGTTTTCCCAGTCCATTTCAGCTTCTAGTCGCTTGGCTTGCTGGGCTAGTGCATAACTGGACGTGCCACTTGCCGGAGCCTTCACCTCGGAGGCCCCTGCAGCCGCCAGCGCCATCGGCGGCGCCCGTGGGTGCAATATGCATTCGCCTACGTTCATCGCGGCTTCGCGCCATGGACCGCTCGTCCGCCTCGCCCAGAACTGCATGTTCTGAGCCAGAGCGAGGCCACGAGTGCCTTGGGCGTCCGGTACAACCACGTTGGCTAAACTGACTTTGGTCACAACCGTTCCATCCAACGACGCATCTTGCTGGCTAGCATGCACGATGGCCGAAATTTTGATCCGGTCGGAGGCTGGTACCCACGACCCGCACACGTTGAGAACGGTCGCGACCGTGTTGAGCGCAGCGTTCGTGGTCATCCGTGTTTGATGGATTTGGTGGATCGTTGGAGTCGACCTTTTGACTTCGACCGGGGCGTCCGCAGCCACTCGCTGGCGCTTCTTCTTATTGCCTTGATGGACCACGGCGGTCACCTTGGCCGGCTGCACAGGTGCAGTCACGGAGCCCGTCAAGTGCTCCAGTTGACCAAGTGCCCACGACAGAACGGGTGCACCCACGATAGTGTACGCCCCGCCGCCCAACGTCGAAATGACTTGTTGAAGGGCAGCATGGAGCGCTGGGACGGCCGCCAGTACTGTCGCGTGGCAGCTGAGCTGGACAACCTTGGCCACGGAAGATGCAAAGCGAAAGATGGGCATGCGGCCGGCGTTAACGAGTGACGAAAGAAGCAGGGTAAAGTGGGGCTGCAGCAGTGGCAAGCTACCGTACAAAACACTGCTGGGCAACTGGCGACCATCCTCGGAAATGGCACTCTGCTTGCCGACGGCATCGGCGCGAATTGAGAATGCTCTTCGAAGAAGAGCGAGCACGTCTGGCGCCACCAACACAATATCCTTTTCGGCGATCGCGGTTGACGACAGCAGTCCCGACAGCATCGATGTCAGCGCGTGAACCTTGTACACGAGGCGGTCGGCTTGAAGAAACAGAGGTAGCGTCATCATGACGGAGTCCTTGAGCCACAACTTAAGGGACGCTGGCCGCGCGCGGCCGTCGCTTGCTTTGTCTTTGCCGCTCAGGACATCCAGTTGATAGTGCAGAGTCAACACGACCCGCTCCACCATCTAATCGTTTCAGTGATGAAAATACATGTAGAGCATGGAAAAGCGAGGAGGTTGCATATACCTGTTGCCACGTGTTCGTGGTGGAGTCGGTGGCGAGAGCAATGGCGCCCAAGCAATTCGACATGGCAAGAACGACCGACGATGCAACTTCTGTGGACGTGCCGGTGGGAGGGCTGAGGATCGGCAAGCAGGCAGATTCGATCTTGCTGGCAAATGGGCGAAACGTAGTCGAGACCGACTTGCATCCAACATATAGTGCTTCATAGGATGCGATGAAAAATGGCGCCGTCGATGCATTCAGGTCAACTTCGCCAAGGTGATGGAGGACGACAGGAACAGCGCGTCCGAGCTGGTCCACGACAAGTCGACGAGTTTCCGTGGTGGCATGTGCGAGATTGAACATGAGGTGTGTGAGAATGTGCAGCGCAGGAACACACACGGATACGTGCTGGTGCTTGAGTGCATGGTAGACGACGTCCAATAGGTTCGGGACGCGCTCTTCGAGAGCTTCCATGGCACTTCCTTCGACGGCGACGGCCAAAAATTGCATCGCAACTTCTTGACGCAACGTGGCCGAGTCTTTTGTTTGTTGGATCATCGTGTTGTAGAACTTTTGCAGCGCGTTGCCGTTCACAACGAACTGGAACACTTGGTGTTGGGCAAGCACATGCTGCAGATGGGTTGTTTCCGCCTGGTAGAGCTCATCGGACAGCGGCTCTTCATCGCGATCAGAGAACGAGAGCGCTGTGATGGACGACAAAAGGTTCTTCGCCTTTGTCGCGCGGACCTCGTCCATCGGGGGCGCCATCTTGTCTGGATTTGATGGTCTGATGGGTTGAACCGTCATCCCGCCAACCAACGAAACCTTGGCACGACGAACCTCGTGATATTTTATACAGACCTTGAAAAATGAATACTTACGTACTACTCCGTTCCTCCAAAATGTGTCAGCGACTTTTTCACTTGATTAAAGTATGTGCAGCGCCATTGAAACGTCTTGATTTTTGTATTCAACTCCAAAACAACATAATCTCTGCAAAAATTTAAAAAAGTTATTGTATTTTTTAGTGCCTCCTTCAAAAGAATTGACCAAGGCATCGAAGTGAATCTCCTCACCCAGTAGGCTATTCAAGTGAGCCAATGCGCTCTGGTAAGACGAGGCGTCAAACTCGACATTGCAAAGTCTGCGATGAGAGTATCCTGCTTCATGTGAGGAAGTTTATAATCTTTGCTACCATATATTTCAATGGACAATTTTAAAACATTTTGAGGAGTTACGAAAGCTTTGCTAGCGTTTCAGTCGGAAAACTCATATAACGCGATTTCTCCAGCAACAATAAGCTCCTCTTAAGAACTCATTAAAACAAACAAACAATAAGCTCCTCAATGGTTCGAGTGCACTTTTGGTACTGCTGGCTTTGAATAGAATTAAAGAGTCGAGTCCTAAGCCTAACGTTTGAAATCGGGGCTGTTCGGTGGTTGGTTCGCAACTTCTATTCCGCTAACTCCTTTTGCACGATGCATTCCAGTTGAAACCCCTCGTCCCGAGTTTCCTACAAAAGTACACACCATAAATTTATAACTGCATAAATCAATAGAAACATTAAGTTTGAGAGATTTTCTTTTGTTTTTTGTGGAGATATCGGTCGCATGTTCACCATCACGACGCGAGAAGTTCGCTTGTCTTCACACCCGTCATATCGTCCGCGAATGGCAGTGAAACTTGTGTGCAAGTTCAATCAGAGCCCTTCATGGCAGTATACCTCGCACCCCAACGCTTAATTAACAGCATTTCGTACACGGTGCGACGTTGAGGAAAGCTCAAGTGCTTGCGGACGTCCAAAGACTCCCGGCACTGCTTGGTGCGTCGACGGATCCCAGTGGTGATGGAGGGGCATGTAGTGGTAGTAGGTGAGTGCAGGTAGTGTTTTGGAGTCGATTAATTCTATAATGAAGTGCTGGCGTAGATTTTCCGACAGAGATGAATGCCCACCAGTTTTGCCGTGCGATATCTCAACCAAAATGGCTGGAAAGTACAAAACTACCCAATCAAAACAGAGATCTTGCGCTTTCTCACGCGCCAATGAGACACCCAAACGGGTGTATAAGAAAAATGCTGCCAATCAAAAGTGGAAGGTGACAAATTTTGTGGAACAGAGTAGTATCACATTTCCGAGGAAATTGGAAATATCCGCTCAAGAAATCCCAACAAATTTCGCTCTTATCATTGGGAATATCGAGCTCTATTTGATAATTGAGGGTCAAATTCTTGACGTGAGGTGCAAAATTTTATTGGGATTGACACTTTTCGACCGAATTGATTTCGTTCCCTGTTTTTCTACGAACCGAGCGGTGATTGGACGTTGAGTTTACTTGGAATTTGTATACTAACACGATGCAGGGGGAAATTTTTCCGGTGTGGTGGCCATTGACCATTCGCCAGTGTCCACCCCGTCGACGATGGCGCAACAGAGTCCGTGGCGCATGTTGGTCATGCTGCCCATGATGTACTTCATGGGCAAGATCGATTTCGAAAACGCGTGGATCCTCAACAGCGCACGTGCGTCCTTCTTCATGATGCAGATCCTGTCGTTGTTGCTTGGTCTGTGGGCGAAATCCAAGATTGAAGCCAAGCCCGATAACCGCAAGATATACGTCCCGACCCCCAAGTCGCCCCTTGACACGAGCACGGAAAATTCCCCCTTGACGGAAACGACCTACTTTGCCCATGAGCTCGCGAAGTCGAAGGAATTTATCCAGCAAACGCTCATCGGCGCGTGCATTTCGAGCTTCATCCACATCCAATTTGGCGTCAACCAAGTGGTTGTTATCCAGTCGGTGATGGTACCGCTCAACTTGTATGACAACGCACTCTTGAAGAAGCATATCTTTGGCATTGGCGGGCCTCGTTATTGGGACGAAAAACTTGAAGACGAGTCGCTGGACGATGCCGCGGCCCACCCAGACGCGATCGACACTCCCGATTCTGTCCCTGCGCCGTCGAAGAAGTCTACCAAATCCAAGAAGTCTATCAGCGTCGCCGATTCCATCAAGCAAGCTTGGGATTTGGGCGTCGAAGCCAACTTTGATCGATTGCTGTCTGTGTTGAAGAACGACCCCAATGGGTTTACGACCAAGACTTCGGACGGTTGGACACCTCTCATGGTCGCGTGCGGCAGCCCCATCGACACGGAGAAGGTCATTAAGACCCTTATCAAGGAAGGTGTCCCTGTGCGCGACGCCGACAACGATGGGTGGACCGCTCTCCACTGGTGTGCTTTCCACGGTTGCCCCGAATCGGCCGAAACCCTCTTGGCATCTATTTCAAAGGAAGATGCTGATTTCCTCGTGAGCGCGAAAGACTCGCAGGGCCGCACGCCGTTTGAGGTGGCGACGGAAGAGTCGAACGGCGTCGTTGCGGAGATATTGACGTCAGCCTCGTCCGACAGCTCGCTGCGTCAGCGCAAGGCCGCCAAGAGCGAAGCCACTCCCATCGACGATGTGGATTAACATAGACAGGTTGTCACCATAAAATGCACAACACAACACATCTAGCTACATGTCCATGTTTGAATTAACTGACTTGCGACATGCGTTTCTGAAGCAATTCTAGACGGGTAGGAGGCACCACTGGCGCGTTGCTGGACAACGGGGAGTCCTCTTCGTCGGAACTCGGGAGCAACTCTTCGCATTCAAAGTCGTCGTCGTCATCGTTGCTCGGGCTATTATACACGAGATGCTCGACTTCCAAGAACGATGACGAGAAAGCATCGTGGCGTGGGGCGGCGGGGGCACCGCTAATCCGGCGTTCCAATGCTGCCAGCGTCCGTTTGGTCTTTTCCGTCGTGTGCAGTCCATTCAAATGAGTCAGGCGAAGGGTTGGCTCCACGTGTGGTTTGGTGTGTGTGTCGCCAGTGGGGCCGTCGTCATCTGAGGATGGTAAATCTTCCTGCTCGTACTCGCTGTCTTCGTCATCGTCGCATTCGGAGAGGAAACTGCGCCAGGACTTTTCAGTTGCTATTTCTTCGTTAGCACTGTGTCTTGAGCTTCCTTTGGCCTGCCATGGCCAGTTGTGCTCGCATGTGTGTTCGAGGAGGTACGATGGGTGCAACAGCGCCCACGGGGTGTAAAACAGTGCTGGGTGCAGATGCTTATCAGTGCACCTAGCACGACGTCATCGCTTAGATTGCCATGATGTGTGGACGTACTCTGGCGGCGCATTGGTTGTCGTCGCCTTGCGTTCCCGAGCGGCTGCTTCTTCAATACGCTCTTGGACTTCCTTTTCCTTGAGTTTGTGTTCGAGGTACAACCTGAGTCGTTCGTTCTGTTGCTTCTCGTCTGACCATGATGCATCCACGTTAAATTCTGGCATGTCCGCCATGAGGCGTGCCCATCTTTTTCGGATTTCACTCCTGAATGACGATGCAATGAGAAGGGTAGCGCGTGTTGAGATGGACTTGCCGAGACCGGTGGGGCAAGTGAGAGTGGGCAATCTTTGCAAAGCGATTGCGCTCGCCTTCGGGGAACGATGCCATGCCGCGCATCAAACGCAGTTCTTCCTCGATCAGCCACGGAATCTTTTCTCGTGGAAGGACGTTTTCGAAAAAGTCTTTCACGGGGTTCTCGGGCGCCTTGGCGCTCGTGAGGAAACGGTACCTTGACAACAAGCTATTATGTCAAGGTGGAATAAGTGAGCCATGGATACCGTGTTCTCAATTGGTCTTGCGTCTTCATCGGGAGAAACTGGCGCTGGATCACGTGCCAATTGATCTTGGGACAGCATTGCTTGACACCGTGCACCAGCAGTCGATCTTCACTAGCGGTGAACTTTGCGTCTTCGGCCTTGGCCGGATTTGTCAAGTGGAAATCCACAGCTCCGAGGTGGGACGTCAAGTTGTCCATCGTGATGTTATCCAAGGATTGCTGAAGCCCGTGGATCTCGTACATGCTGGGACTGATGATGGCAGCGTGGGCAGCGCTGAACGAGCGCGTGATGCGCCTTGAACGGATGGACGACGAGGTGTGTGCATTGACAGCAGAGTCTGGAGCCGGGTCTGGGAGATGGTTCACCTTCCGCACCACCGATTCTTTCCACTGACGCACTGCTTCCCCACGACGTTGCAAGTCCAAGATCATATTCTTCGCTTCCTCTGATGGAGACAACAGCATGCTTTGACACAGCAGTTGAAAGTGCTTGTGCATTTGCGACGCTAGGTGTGCCATTTGTTGCGGAGTGAGCGACCCCTTGAGTTGCGATCCAGGTTGAATCGAAACGAACGACGACCCTGACGATGGCTTCGACGACGACGTTGCAGGAAGCAAATTCGCCATCGCAGAGGTTGTTCCTGCTTCGCATACTTTGAGCTTGGACGAATCCCATAACAGTCCCGACAGTTCGGACTTAGGAATGTCATCTGTGTCGATTGTATCTTCGTCATCGTCTGCGTCCTCGTCCTCTTCGTGGGGCTGATACTCATCATCTTCCTCCGACAAGAAGCTCAAATTTTCTTCGTCGTCGACATTTGGCAGCAGCGAAGTGAGAAAGCGCCGGTAGTTCTCCTCTTCCTCGATAACGTCCATGTCTAATCCCAGATAGGATGGGTCGTCATCCAGGAAGCTCTCGAGCTCTTCAATTTCGACATTGACAAGCGAGACCTAGCCATCATTCGTCAAAGAATTGTTCTTCTGGTCGGCAGCGACGTACCTTCGTTCGTGTCCTGAACGCGATGGATTCCTCTTCTGCTGCAGATGGCGCCAACGATGACCGCGGTTCCATCTTTATGTCCCTGGTCTTCAGGCAAAGCACGCATCCGGCATCCGGATAATGCTCCTTGAAGTTGTATATGGTCGGTCCTTCCGGGACGATGCAGGTGCCAAGTCGCGCCATGCGCCACCTTTAGGAGGACGAGAAGCTCACTCATTTCAATCATATACATGGTCGGGAGGTGGTGGAAGAGGTTGCGAAGTGGTCTGAATAATCCTCTTCGACGAAGCGAGTGCAAGGACAATGAGCATCAGAGATGAGAGGGCTTGTGAATCCTCTGTTGATTCAGCACCCTTTGTCTTGATTTCGAGAGGTTGGGTCGACATCAAGCACCGTCAGACGAAAGTGTCGACTGTTACGGCTTGGTTGGAGCCGTTCAGAGTTGACGAAGAATGCGATTTATGCACTGCGTTGACATGCTCAAGGGAGCGCTGCGGCCGCGGCAAATACTATTCACCAACGGTCAACAGTGGCACGGGAGAATTCACGCAGTCGCATGAAGGTGGATATCCCCAAATAAATACAACTTGGACGTCTCTAGCGACACAAGGGCTCTCGCGAACGCTGCAGCGATCATGTCATTTTGATGCGTGGAATGGATGCAGCGGATGCGTTCATGATCCAGGCCTTGGCTGACAGGGACGACGCTCGCTAGCCCTTCTTTGGATCGAAAATCTTGTTCGACTGGTTCGATGGCTCAGGGAAGAGATGCCATTCATGGCAACACCAAAACGCACGTCGTCGTGCCTGAGCACTAAGGGGTCCAGTCGTTTCGAGCCAACTCCCTCAAACTTCCTCGGAACGACCAGCACTTCCATCATTTTCTTTCGAAGGTGCTGGTCCTGATTGGAGTTTATGCCGTGCTCTACGTGACCAACACGTCACACTTCATTCTTGTTCAACTTGAGCAGATCCTACCGAGTCGTGGGATACGTGTGGGTCAGATGGCCCCACGACGAAGTCCGTGGAACAGTAGCACGTCGCCTGTTGGGTTTGGTCAAGGGCATGGTCTGTTGAGGTGTCGCCCCGTTCAGTTTTGAACTCTGCGATCATACACGGCGCGACTGTCTACCAGACATGCTCGCTACAAGAAGTTTGCTTCCCTTGACTATAAAATGTTTGGCTGTGTATGCTCGCATGAGTGCGGCGCTGTCGTGAGCCCTCTGGGATCTTTTGCGCAAATACGCTCACGTCAATTGCCCATGCCGCCTGCCCACAATCGCTTGCGCAAATACCGTGGCGTCCACTGCGCCTCAGTGGAGTGCCCTTGGTGGAGTCGCTCCTTCTGCTGGCTGACGAGGAAACATGAGCTCATCGGCGTGCAAAGGATGCTCGAAAACAGGACGACTGCCAAAACATTTCTTTGTGAACATTACAGTTCGTCGACGATCGTGACTTTCGTGCCGGCGTACGCCATGAATACCACGGGAAATAATTCTTCGGCTACATCGACCAAGTCAACCTGACACGATCGCCCATCGTTGAGTGCAAATTCAAGTTGCGACGGGCCACGACGAATGGTCACCACGTCACCCGCTCGTATCGCTGCCAGGGTCGCGACTGCCGAACCTTTTCTCGCAATTTGTCCCGTGTTCGAAGTGAAGTAGTAGCAAGCATTCAACGAGTTGGACGTATGGCCGTCAAACCCCACCTTGGGCCCAACTCCGACGTAAAACGTTTGCTTGGGGTCATCCACTCGGATCCGAACGCATCCCTCCAGTGCCGCGCCGACGATGGCAGCCTTCCATTGGTTGGCATTTGTCGCGGACCGTTCAATGGATCGTGCATCATTTGTCAAGGCCATTTCGGGTGCGCGCAGTGTGGGGTCCCATCGCATTTCTGCGACCTTTAATGCTTCGTTCAGTTTTAGGTACTCCATCATCGACTTGAACTCGCCCCGGTCGACTGTCGTCATGCCTTCCATCGACACTTTTCCCGTGCGCAGGAACACGAGGACCCGATGAAACACGTTCGGGTCCAAATCCAAGAAGTACGCTTCGCCGGGGCTGTCTGGCTTCCAGTGACCAGACCCGAGCAATGCGTGAAAATAGCTGCCTTCCACACGCAACAACGTGTCCTTGGACGTTTTGAAGACGGTTCCGCCCACGTCTAGTGCCACCACATTCGACGAGTTCGCCAAGTTTTCTTGAATACGTTCGTCCAGTTGTGCCCAATCTGCCAGTTTCTTCTCCGCAATCGCAGCCTCTGCTTGTAGCTGGCCCAACGCGTCGAGAAATGCAACCGCAGCTGCAGGCTTTTCGTTTGACATGTCTTTCTTCTTGCGTGTCATCGAGTTGATTTGACAATGCCCAGTTTCATTCTTGTTGGCGCGAGTGACGAAGGAGGGCCGAGGCCGAGTTGGCTGAGGGCAAAGGTGTGATGGCAAACGTGTCGGTTGGCAAGTCAGTTGCTCCAACGTGTGCTATAAATAGATTTCCATATCTTCCACGCAAGAGTACTACTACTAGTATACTTGTACGTCGTATATACTAATACTAGTAGTATACTAGTACTCAGATCAATGATAAATGAATGTTTGGAAAAATGGTGAATTCGAATTTCATTTAATTACAGAGCAAAGTTTTCAAGCCAATAAAACGACGTGATGTGTTATCCGGACGAAATGAAAGCTGGAAACTTCAAGAACGATGTTGCGCTATGCCACCACCGCCGCCCGCCGACAACTAACACGGGCTCTGGCGACGTCGCCGCAGCCCCTGCAACGCGATCCCCTCTCGATACTCAAGACGATCGCAGACGCAGTGCCTTCGTCGTTAATGAAGATGACGTCCGCAGATTGGCTGCTACGGCTTACCGTTCTGGCACGACACAACTCGAGCCGACCGTCTGAATCGTCCCCGTCAGCAACGAAAAATGCAACGGAATCCTCGCTGATGCTGAACAATGCACAGTTTCTGAGAGAATTGCAGTACTACGTGCGTGTGTGCGATGCCATCTACGCGTCGAGTCAAGACCGGTTCATGCGAGAGAGCTTGTTGGCCCAGGGCAATGTAACCATCGTCCAGTCCCATCAAGGTGGGGTATTTGCGCCAAAGTACTACGTGTACGTAGACCACGACAGGCGGACCATTGTCCTTGTCATCCGGGGCAGCGCCAGCATCCAGGACTTCGTCACGGACATGTGCATGCACCACGAGCCATTCTTGACGGGATACGGTAGATTCGCGCCTCCACAATGCGATGACAGTCTAACCGAAAGCTATCACAGGTCACCGTGGCATTGTGCATGCCGCCAATTGGATGGACTGGAAGCTCCGCGACGACATGCTGAAGCTAGCGGCGGAGTATCGAACGTACAATATCCGCCTCACTGGCCACAGCCTTGGCGCGGGGACCGCCGCGCTGTTGGCGCATTTGTGGTCGTCAGTCATACCTCGAATGCACTGCATTGCGTTTGCCCCTCCCGCGTGCTTGACCCTCGATTTGGCCCAGGCGTGCGAGTCGCATGTGACGAGCGTGATCCTTGGCGACGACTGTGTTCCACGATTGAGCGGCGCCAACCTCGTGACCTTGCTTGATGAGGTTGTAGTTCGGCATACACACTCTATCGCCATGAACGAGACGACACTTTGTCCAGGTCGAGCAGTTTGAAGTGTCGACAGCGTTGAAAGCGATGGTGGCGGAGGAACTCCAAGCCAAAGCCAAGCAAACACAAGACAGCGCGGGCGTCAGGCAGCTGCGACAGGCAATCGATCGCGTTGAATCGTTGAAAAAGGTACAGGTCCGTGCATGGATGACTTGATTTCTCATGTGGTCGTGTAGACAGCGTCCGAGGTAGACCTCCTCCATGGCCTCAGCAACACATAGTGTTGGGACCATGACCATGACGTAGAACCTGGCGACGAAAATTTCAGCGATCACTCCGCCATCCGTCAATACGCTGTCGTGGCTCGAAGACAAGCCGTTTGCAACGGAACTCAAGCAGCTCTGGAAACAACTCGACCAACGAAAGGTGCGTTGTTCGAGCCGCCGGATGAAGTTTGTCAAACTCAATCCGTGGCGCAAAGGAATCGCAAACGACGGACAAGCGCTGGGTACAAGACAAACCGTTCGCAGCCGAACTCAAGGCTCTATGGGAGCAAGTTGACACGCATCTGGTTGGGTGCGACGTCCGTGCGTGGCTGAGCATGCCGGCATAGGGGCGTACGGAGCAATTTCTCTCTCTCGATCCTAGACAATTGCCTGTTATATCGGCATGGCCGTTCAAGTTGAGCGACCAAAATCATGTCGAATGGCGCAAACGCATGGACTTTATCGCGTCCATGCCAAGCCACGCATCGTCCAAGCGTATGGTGTTCATGTCACGATCGTAGCATCTTATCGTGCCTGTCTAGAACTGATATCGTTGTGGGGAAATCTTGACGTCACCGTGATCGCAATGGAAGGGCTCGTTCGTTTCGTCAACGACCCCGACCGCAAGAAGCAACTCGTTTCGCAAATTGAAGGGCTGTTGCGGCAGATTTCAACGACGCGATCTGCTTTTTCCAGCCGTACGATACAAGCGAACGCGCCTTTGGAACAATGCCGTTGACACCCACACGTCGTAGTGGCACCGCTGTTGGACCCCATGTCAAATCGTTTCTACGAGCTCTTGATCGCGACCAAGCATACCGTCCAGCAAACCAACTGGGTCCTTCCCATGTCCAGCAAGTACCTGTCTTTTTTTTTCAGCCGGCAAGCCCCATATTGCTTCTTGCGTAGTTTCAAGGCGGAAGCGAGCCCACGCGCCGACCTCTCGACAAAGTACATCCTATCGAAATGGAGATGCCTAGGGACCTTTCCAACACACCTGTAGACCAGCCCGTCCGTCGTCGCAGCTGCTGCAAAACAAAATTCTGTCCATGGTCGATAGCATTTGCGCCGACCTGCGCCGTGAAACAGACTCAATCATCCAACTCGGCAAATCGACAATGTGCGTGGAGCACGTCCTGTTCGGACTCATTTTGATCCAGGACGAACGGCGACGCGAACACGGCACTGGACGACATTCCACAGGATCTGCTCGGCATGGAACCAGTTTTCCCCCCAGGAAAAGTCATCGTCGTCGACTCGGTACGGGCTTCTCGGCCGGGACGAGCGACTGACTCGTGATGATGGCAGTCGGGAAATCCACCCGCGCTGACGCATGTGCCGGACGTTGGCACGTATTTCAACCGCATTGTTGTGTCAAACGACATGATCATGGACCATTTGAGTTCGACGTACGACGAAGTCATTGGGACGATGTTGGAAACACTCGACAGACCTCCTCAAGAAGGATAGCGTCGCATAATATAACGGCGACGTCGGCCTGTGTTTATGATGAAGCCGATTGTCGTAGAATCTGACGAGTGCAGACGTGCAGGGAGGTGCTGCGAGGAAATCCCACGTGCCCGTCGAGGCCGCATGCCATTTCTACCGAGCCACCATCGTTGCGTGGCATCGCATGCTGCATGCGTGGAGGTTGTTCGTCCACGTCGGGCCCGCAGTGATCGATTGGAAACCGACACGGTTGTGTTCGGTTTCACGCCAAGTTGTTGACGTAACTGCCGTCCCAACGAAAACAAAAACGGCCTGCGCCACCGCCGCCCCCATTATCATGGGTCAAATCGCGTCGGCGCCTTGTGGGAGCAGCCTCGGGCCGTCCACGGCTTGCAGCGCCACAACATGGGAAGAGGTCGACGTGGACGACCTTCAGACCCAACCGATCGACATCCGACACTTTCTTCGACGAGCGGAAGATGAAGCCATGTGCTGGAAACACGACCACCGACCTATGCAGGTGCAGCCGATCCGATTGCTCACCCCTGCGGATTCGTTTGCCAATACATCCGAACTATCCAAGGCCAAGTATGCCCGCTCTGTTCGTTCCAACATAGATGTTTTCACCGACAGAATGCTAGGACGGGGCCGACGAAGCCGCCCTTCATGCCTCCTGTCATGATGACGCCAGATGAAGCGTGCGCAGTTTTGCCCTCTCTCATGGAAGATCGTTGGATCTACCCGCTCGTGGCATTGGTGGGCAGCAAGGACATGAAAGTTACAGAAATGGCGCTGGCGGCGCTGGCCAGCATCGTTGATTCAGGTTCTGCCGAATCGCCGTGGCCATCTCACAAAGTCATGTCTGGGCCATAGAATCCCGGCAAGCCATGGCAATTGAAGCGCAATGCATGGCCAAGCTCGTCCATGCAATGTCTTTGGCGCATTTTCAGCGGCTGGCGTTCGACGCGCTAACCGCACTTTGCCATCGCAACCGTACGCGGAAGCCCATCGTGTTCTTCGACCCCTGTGATGGGAATGCTCGTGGCTAGGGTCGGCGGCTCTCGACATCCTTTCTCAAGGCGTTGTGGACATCCTGTTTGAAGTATTCAAGCTCAAATTGACCAACTCGGACGACCGAAAGTGCAGTGGCTTGCAGTTGCTGCTCGTTCTGGTCAAGCAAGGTTCGTTTGGTTTGCATGGATGCACTAAGGACTGACAGAGTCGCAGCCGAAGGCAGGGCTCTTGTCGCGACGCAAGCTAGGGTCGCAATTCTAGTCGACTTTATCTCGCACTTTCATGCCCCCATTGCGTTCTACGCCTTGTCATGCCTCGGCGAGCTCTTCCAAGGCGGTGCGTCTGCTCGGTTTCAGCTCCCCCATGTCACCACTAACGTGCCGATGCAGAGTCGGCGCGGAAATCCGCCATCGCCCTCGGCGTCCTGCCTATACTCCTGCGCTTCTTGCACTCGACGGCCACATGCAACAAGACGATTCTTCTCCAAGCTGTCTACATTCTTTCCATCATGGGAACACATGAAGCCAACGCGTTTCCGATGGCTGAGTCCGTCCAGGCGTTGTGCCACGTGATGGATATCCTCCGCGGGGCGCTAAAACGGTCGCGACTTGCCAGTCTCGTGTGCATGTTTGTGGCAGGACTGTCGTGGAAGCATCCGTCGTGCCAGCGATTTCAACACGCCGTCCGCGACAACTCCGCGCCCAACTTGTTTGCGATTCTCGCGAGTTTACTCATTGGCGGGTCCAACGACGTGCTGTGCGCTGCCGCCATCGCGGTTGGCGCACTCTGCCACAGGTGCCTCCCCAACGTACACGCGTTCGCCAAGCTCGACGTCCACACGACCTTGGCGAAATTGCTTCCTCACAAAGATGATCGCGTTGTCGGCTGCGCCGCCATGGCTCTGACGCGATTCCTTACACCGTATACGTTGCAAGCAAAACACGCCCATTTGTTGTGCGAGCCATGGCAGCAAGAAATAGCCCAGGCCATTGCCGACTGCACGTCGCCCGAGGGGAGTTCACTCGATGTGTTGTACGCTTCTGTGCTACGAAAGAGCCCGTGTCGCCCATGTGACCCAATTGCCTTGGACGCAGCTCCATTACTGTCACAAATGTCAGCGTTTGAGCTGCAAGCAGCGCTCGACTTGTTTGTTTTCACGCGAAACAAGCGACGGTGGACAAACGACGAAGCCGTGCAGTGTCTACTTGACTGCGTCGGCAGCGCTGCGTCCGACATGCAACTGGAACTGCTTCTGTTCTTTCAAACGTGCACCGATCCATTGGGTGGGGACATCGAGGCGGTCGATTTTTGCAACTTGGTGCTGGCGCACGATGGCGTGCCGCTCTTTCTGTCCCTCCTACGCGCTCCTGACCAAGCCGCATCCCACCTGTGCAGCGTGCTGCAGATTCTCAAGCACTTTGCTGTCGTCTACCACACCACATTATGGCCGCAACCACCGGACGCACTGCCTGACCTCGTTCGACAAGTCGTGGCACTCATCGGCCGCATGGATGCCGTCGACGTTCAACGAGCGGCTGCCAAATTGCTAGATATCCTCACCGAAGCGAAAAGTGGCCACATAAACGCCACGTTGACCACGATACTGGCCACGGATCCACACTGTGTTGCAAATCTCTTGTTCGTGCAATGCCATACCATCCAGCACGCCGCAGGCGTTGTCGTGAGCCGCCTCGTTCGACATAGTCAAGGCCACTGGGCGCCGCTCCCGAGCGCGCTGCTGCAGCTCACGGCGTTGCTGCGAAGTCCGTCGCATGAGGTCACGTTTGCAGCGTCACACGCGTGGGGAAGTCTCCTGGAACGGCTTGATCTTTGCCACGTCTTTAGCAAGCATGACGGGGCGGTCGCGGCCTTGCTGGACCTCCTCGACGTACCGAATCGCCGCCCCAAGCACCTTGTGGACACCGGACGCACGCTGTATCGGGCGGCAAAGCATGCCGACATTCAACCGCATTTGCTTGGGCGAGGCCTCGCGCTGCTGGAGAAATTGAGTCTGCACCCTGTGCATGCTCTGGCGCATTACGCCATGCTCACGCTGAGCCTCATGGGAAAGAACGACTCGCTTCGCCCGGCCGTGGTGTCGCCGACGCTCGTCACCCACCTGCACGAATTCGTGGCTGTGGGAGCGCACGCGTTGGGGGACAAGGACGATAATTCTGCATCGACCTTCCCCAAGCCACGACGATTGAGCAACCTGACGGACGCTCTATGTTGGATCGGCGAGGTTGCGTTGGACGCAGCGACTCAGCAAACCCTTCTCCACGCGGGTGTCGTAGACCAAGTCGCTCAAGTTGTGCTGATGAAAGGCCCTATTTCCGACATCAAACTGTGCGCTTTGACCGCCCTAGCAAGCGTTTGCTCCAGCGACCCCAGCACGCGCAACCACGTGCTCGGGGACGCCCTCGTCGACGCTGTACTTCGCTACTTGGACGTTGAGCACGCGACGACCTCTGACGACGACGAAGTGGTGCTCATTTGCCTCAATATTGTGCTGCATCTACTGCGCACCCCAGCCGCCCAGGCCATCATTGCAAAGAGTCCTCGGATGGGCAGCATCGTTCAAACCCTGCGGTATACCAGCAGCAAAATTCGCTCGCTCGCGGCGCAGGTGCTAGCGCTGCTGGCCAAGCGCTTCGATTCAGTAAAAGCGGACTTGTGCCGCATGGACGTCAACAACATCCTGCTCAACATCATCGTGAGTGAGAGCGTTTCCATCATCACGAACAGCAACGACGATGACATGAGCACCAGTGCCCATGTGCGAGTGAATCCATCGAGTCGAGTCCAACGGCACGCGTTGCATGCGTTGGCTGTGCTTTGCGAAGGGTCGTCGCCTGCTTCCAAGACCAACAAACACGAAATTCTCGACTTTCCGCTGGGCACGACCCTCACGGATTTGCTGCACGTACCAGACACCGACGACGCCGTCGAGGCGACGGCCTTGCTTGCAGCCGTCATCGCCAATGTCACGCATCACTCGACGCGCAACCAACGGACGCTCCTCCAGCGCGACGTCGAGCCCAAGTGCATTGCGCTGCTGAAATTTGTGTTTGAGGACAAAGCCAGCCCAGCGCCGCCGTCGTCGTTCCTCGAACTACTGGCCGTCGAGAGCATGAAGACCTTGACCAACCTTGCCACGCATCCCGAGAATCGCAAGGAAATGGGTGCCGACGACGCGATATACGGAGCACTGCTGATGGGCCTCCAGTCCGACGTGACTGCTTTACATCGCTTCGCCGCGTTAACCATGGCACATTTGTGCACTGGTAACAACGACCCCCACAAAATTGCGATGGGCTCGTACGGCAGCCTCCTGCCCGTCCTGTCCGAGAGGTAAGGCGTCGAATCCAGCGGTTGTTTGACGTACACCTCGATAGGTTAAGTTCGAAGCATCCCCATGTGCTAGAGAACGTGTGCTTCGCCATCACAAAGTTGGGGACGCACGGAGGCAACAAGATCGTGCTGGGGGCCAACCTGATCTTTGAGCGGCTCCTTCCGCTCGTATTGCACACGGAAATCGCGATTCAAAAGATGGCGATGACCGCGATAGCCATCCTCATTGACGGAAACGACCGGAACAAGGTTTCGTTGGTCGAATGCAACGCGATTCCCATCCTTTGTAGTCTGTGCAACAACCACAGCACCACGCCAGTCCACGGTCGCATCCTCGAAGGAGCGCTCCACACGCTGTCCGAGCTCGTGGCCACCCAAGTAGTTGAAGTCTCCAAGTACATAAATCCGACCATGGTCATCGACATGCTTGGCAGTGTGAATGGGAAGCTCCAAAAGGCCGCGCTGGTCCTGCTCTCCCACCTCACCCGAGAATCATTCAACAAGCTCTTGTTTGGAGTCCCGCCATGCATAGCAGCGCTGGTCGTGTGCCTGCACACGGCACCACGAGCGGACGACTCGTCCGAGCGCGACGATGGCGAAGACGACTCACCGAGTGCTCTCGACCTGCCATCTTTGCTAAGTTCCGAAGCTGATTTGGTGCTAGTCGAGCTTGCCGCAACGTCCCTGGCGAACTTGAGCTTTGAAGCTGCTAACACAGACATGATCGTGGCAGATTCAGATCACCAACTTATCCCGCGCCTCGGCGAACTCATGGAATCGGCCATGCAGGTCGCTCACGAAACTCGCGCGTCGCCGTCGAAGAAGAAGCAACTGAGTCCGCTCAAAGCCAAGATGTCGGTCCCAAACAACCAAGACAGCCATTCGGACAATAACGGGCAACGGCTTGCCGCCCCACTGCTGGCCAGTCGACCGATGCAGTGCCAGCACATTCTGGAGCAGTGCGTGCTGATTGTCAACAACTGCGCACATGTCATTCTCCGCCACGGCGCCGTCACGGAATCGATTGTGGCTATCCTGTGCCGCATGCTCACCCATTCGAGCGACTTGGTCAAAAAATGCGCGTGCTTTGCCTTGACGACGTGGTGTTCCAAGCACCCTCAGCACCAGCAATGGGTCCTCGCCCAGCCCACAGCTGCGCTCAGCACCCTCATCGGGATGCTCAACTCGTCGTCGCCCGGCATCGTCGAAGCGGCGCTGTGGATCCTCACCAAGCTCTCCATGTACGACGACACATACGTGAAGATGGTAGCGAATGACATCGTCCGCATCCTCGAGCACATCATTTTCCGGTACCACACGACGTTGGGATCGGGCGTGCTGGACCGCGCAATTCGGCTGCTGGGCAACCTCGGTCTCCACGACGTTGTCCGCAAGACCATTCGTGGCGAAGCAATCGTTTCGGGTCCCCTCACGAGCATCCTGGACCATCAAAAAGACACTCCAACGCCGTCGTCGCCCACCGTCCACTCGACCAAAGCCACCATCATCTCGCACGTGAAGAACACAGCGCGCTTGATCAGCATCTTGCTCACGGATGATGCGCTCAAGCTGTTCTTTCCCAAACGGACGCTCGGCGTGCTCCAAACGATTTACGTTCTTCCTAGTACAGCGATCAAAGTGCGTCGCAACATCATCGTGATCTTCTGGCTTTTGTCTGTCGTCGAAGAGCATCGCGAGCAGCTGGCACATCCCGAAAAAGACGTCGTCGGCCGACTGGTCTCTGCCCTTGCCCGCGACGAACATGAGCTGTTCGTGCGAGCGAATGTGCTGGCCATGCTGGCCATGTGGAGCCAGCACGAATCCATCTGCCAAACGTTATACTCTCGAGACGTGGTCGCTGCTGTCCTAAAGTACTTGGTCATTCCCGAACTGGGATGCGACACGTTTTGCGCCGTCATCGTGCATCACCTCTCCAACCTCAAAGAGGCCGTGCGGACGACGTTGGCGGCCGAAGGAACGACCGAAATCGTCTTGTCGCTACTGGATCGGTGCGTGAGCCACCCGACGCCGTTTGACCCGTTCGGGTACCACTTGGTCGGGATCCTGGCCAACTTGACAGTGCAAGACGACGTAAAGTCGGTCGTCGTGCACGTGCACGGCATCGCGACGATTCTGGCGTTGCTTCGCCAGAATATCAACTATCGATTCCTCGACGACTCGACAGGTGGCGACTTGCTCGACTTGTTTGGCAAAGTCGCGGCAAATCTATCGTTCGACGACCCGTGCAAGTCAGAACTGATCCACGGCGGTGGACTCGAGCTCGTGCTGCAGGTGCTCAGCCGAGGGTACGCGTCATTGACAGGCGTTGAAAACTACGTGCTGTGCGTTGGCAACTTGAGCACGGTGGCCGACTCGATCCCTCGGCTCGAGGCGGCGAGCGCGATTCCGATTCTGCTGCAGCTCCTGAAGACGCATCACGTCACGTCGCCGTGGATCGTCAAATGCACGATTTGGGCCATTTCCAACATGGCGATGGATTCGACCACGAGCAAGCACCAAATCCACGGATACCCAGGGGGACTGGACCTTGTCCTGTCGCTGCTGGTGACCGAATCGTGCAAACAAACGGACACGATCGTCGAGTGTGCCATGACGTGTTTGAGCAGCATCGTCCAGGAAGAAGAGATTGCCCACGCGCTCGGCGAATGCCCGACGATCGGGCACATCCTTCTGTTCCTCGAGCCGCAAGTTCGCCAGAGTTTGCAGCGCAAAGCGGTCAAGACGGTCGGGTGCCTCGCATCGTTTGGTATTGCGATGTATATCGACGACCTCTCGCGCACGCACACGCACCTCCTGTCGATCGCCACGGACAGCAACCTGAAATCGATCGCTCCGACCGCTATCAACGCCCTTCGTCGCATCGCGTATCTTCGGAACGAAAGTCCGCACGTGTTGTGCGCCAACGTACACGGCATCGACGCACTGCTCCAGCTCCTCCAGTCCGACTCGGCTAGCACCGTCCTCGACGCACTGCATTTGATCCATCATGTTGCGATGGTGACCGCCACGATCTCGACCAACGCAGAGTACTTTGCGTCGAAACGCGCATGCACCCAAGCGTCGGAGCTGCTCGTGTCGCCCAACGTCGAGATCCAAGAAGGCGTCGTCCAGCTGTGCGCCTACCTTGTCAAGAACACCGAGTTTGACGAATGCACCCGCCACGTCGAAAACTGGCCGCTGGTGCTGTCCCGTCTGTGTCGGTGGTGGGAGCAGCAAACGAACTTCACAGTCCATGCATTGTGCCCAAGTGTGCTTGCCGGCCTGGATCAAATGCTGCGCTTCCCTGCATTCATTCACTCGCTAAACGACGCGATATTGACCAAAGCAAGCTTGCAGTGCCTCGTGGATAGCCTTCCGTCCCTTGCCGTACTCGAAGTCGAGCCGTGGGAAACCACACTGGTTTGTGTCCGGGCGCTCGTGCACCTCGCGGCCGAGTCTTCCTCGTACATGCAAATGTTGTGCCACGTCAACCTGCCGGCGCAACTGATGCACCTCTTGCTTGCCACTCCAGACAACGAGACCGCCTTGTTGCGCATCGTCTTGCGCGGCATTGCACTCTATTGCATCAAAGCGCCAACGTCATGTGAAGCGTTTGTTCAAATGCGTGGCGCCGTGCGCTTACTCCAGCTGCTGTCTGACCCTGATGCGGATGTGGTCTCGACAGCGCTGGCCATCATTGAGTTGCAGCTTCGAGTCCCGACAGCGCCCGAAGTATTTAGGAGAGCAAACGCAGTGTATGTGATGGCGTCCAAGCTCGAGGGCAAAACCGGACCAGCCAACAGCATTCGGCTTCTCTCTTGCCTTGCAACACTGTGGGAAGACTCCCCCGCAGCCTGCGCTGCCTTCCACGAGAGCCGCGTGGTGTCGATTGTGATGACCACGACCCTTCATGTCCATCGCACCGAATCCCTCACGGTGCTTCACGCGATGTCGACGTCGGTTGCCTTTCATGCGACGCTCTTCCAAGACGCCTCCATGTTTCTCGACGTGCTTCGAACTCGCACGGGCCAGTGTGGCAACGACACGGTTTTGGTGCTGCTCATCCTGTGCAACATGTGCGGTTGCGGGCCATCCTTCGACAACAACATGTCAGAAGCACCGATTCAGTCTTCGTTTGTCATGGAATGGGTGGACATGAATATCCTGGGCACATTGCTGCCTCTGTCGCAATGGTTGGACGCGGTGCCGCCTCCCCGTCGATCGACCAAGGTGTCGATGCTGTGGGAAACGGAAGTTGAGTTGGTGCTCCGGATTCTAAGTCAAGTCACGCGAGATGCGCACTTGCGGCAGGTGTTTCGTGATGGAGTCGACCTGCCAGACCTTCTCTCACTGCTTCGCCCCCAAGCAAGTACCGGCGCTTTGCTTGGCATGGGGGTGGTGTGTGGTGCGACTCAAGTGCTCGCCAACATCTCACTGGAAAAGGAGATTCAAATCATGATCATCGTCGAAGACGGCATAACGTTCTTGGCCAAGTTGATCATGCAGAAAATCCACCACGACAAGCTCGCCCTCGCGCTTGTGCGAACCGTGCGCAACCTGTCCCACGACACGGAAGTGCAAGCCATTCTGGCCGCACACGCCACACTACCCTACTTCTTGCAGTGCATGCAAGTCCTAGCGGCCATGCCAGACATGGCTTTGTCCAGCGGTCTGGAGGTGCTCAGCCTTGAAATTATCCACGACGTGACCAAGACCATTCAATGGACAGACACACTTGTGGGCCATCAATGCCAAGAGGCTCTTCTCGCGCTCATCGACCGGCATGTCGATGAGTGCCACAGCGTCTCGATTGAATCGGTGGCTGTGCAATCGCTGGTGAACTTGACGCACACATCGAATGTCGACGCTCTGTGCGCATCCAACACAGTCCGTCGCATGGCCCAGCTTGTGTCGACACACTACTTTCCAACGTTTTCGACATTGTCGGAGCGCAAGGCGGCACAGTTCACTGCTCTTTTACAAGGATTAACTCGATGCGTCCACTCGTCCGAGAATGCCCGACACCAGCTCGCTACGTCCGACACGTTTTTACAGCAGCTAACGAGTTGGTTTGTCTGCGGTGCTGCCGAGTATGCAGATGAAGTCCATGCTGTGAGTCTCCTGGCGAACCTCGCCTTGGTTCCAACTGCCCGCCACTGCATGACGCGGCATGCCGCCCCGACTTTGCTCGCCCGCGTGGCACAAGTTTGCATGGACGTCCAAGCCACACGAGAAACCCACGTGTCATGTTTCCATGTGCTGTCGCAGTGCCTTGGAAGCGACATCGATCCTGTCGACCAAAGCGGCTGGGAATACGCTTTTGTCCCTGACTTTATCGCATGCGCTCCCTTCGAACACGCACTGGCAAATGCTCTCGGCCCGTCGACTGCCACCGATTGCCTTGCCGTGTTTCAAGGCTGCTTGCGCCATGGAGGGTATGCCACGAGTCCGTTTCCAGTCCCGCTTGCAGTCCTCGTGGCAGTCATCGCGTTCGTCGGGTCGACTGACCACGCGCTGGCTGTTGGCATCCTCCAGCAGTTGGTCGTGGAATCTGCCTGTCGTCGACTCATCGTCGCGTCGTTTGCGTTCGACAAGTTTGTGAATGTGGTGGGCAGCCGCAGCGAATTGCTCGGACAAACCAGCGTGCAGACCATCGCGCGGCAGCTCGTGGATGACGCATTGGACATCCATTTTCCCCGAGACGATTCAGTCGTCGCCACGTTGGTGCATTCGTTCCTGCAACAGGACGGCATGCAGCTGTCTGTGTTGTCGCTGTTAGGCCACCTTGCGCTCTTTTCCCCGCACTCGTGTGGCGTCGTGATGCGTGAAATCCAGGCGAGCGCTTTGGCCATGGCTTTGCTCTCGAGACACGTCGAGACCATCCACGCCCGGACATGCACCCGCGCCACGATCAACGCGTCGTCGGTCGTGTCCATCCACGACATGCTTCGCGTGTACTTGTTTGCCGTCACATTGCAAACGCCGACGTGGAACGATGCGACGACGGCGGTGTGCTTCGTCTCGGACATTCTGTCCTGGTTTACGTCGCAGCGCGCGGCGCATCGTTTCGTTGACATCTACCCCGTCCTGCTGTACTGCACGTCGAGTTTGCTCAAACCGACGGCGAGAACGACGGCAACCAAGGGTGCCCGCCCCACAGAACGCAGCTCGGGAAACAAGGTGGACGACGCGCCATGGCAAGCAGACATTCTACGCGACGTCATGCACATCCTCACGGTCGCAACGGACGTGCCCATCCAAGTCGCGAGCTTGAACACGTTGGTAGCTTTCACCAAGCTTTGGCAAGCAGATCAGAAGCTGTTGACGCTGTTGGAGTCGTTGCCCACGCGAGCTGCGGCTTTGCAACAGATTGTCGGTTTGCTGACGACTGCACAGACCGCGGCGCTCGAGACGCTCACTCTGCTGGTGACGGCCGGCCACCACAATATCGTGGACGAACTCAAGGAGATGGGGGCAAAGGTCCAGCTTGAAGCTCTTCAAGTCTCGACCCCTCATGAAAAGGCCATGACTACCGCGATCCTCGACTTGCTTGGATATAGCATGGACCTGAGCGAAGCTTTTGTCCTGGATTTGCAAGCATTCACAGACACCAGCAATAACCCGGCCGATCGTGGTGCAATGATGGCAAAGCTACGAGCCACACTCGACAGGGATGTTGTGACAGATCATAGCATTTTGACCGCTATCATTCCGAAGCTTGTGGAAGCGGCTGCCCAGGACAGGGCGTTCCTCAACGACTGCATTCAGTGTCTCTACAAAGTGTCGGGGTTTCCGGCGTTTGCTCAATGTACCATGGCGCCTCCCATCTTGCTGCGGCTCTACGTGAACGAATTTGCAACGCTGACGGCTGAGACGCAAGGCTTCCTCCTCGACATGTTGTTTGTCCTGCAGGCGACCCACGGCGATGCGACAACGAGCGACTTTGACTTCCACGACGAATGGAATCCGTTGGCCAAGTTGCTCACTCTCGCAACGTCGCTGCTCGTGTGCGATCTTCCGACCGCGGCACGGATTATGACGTTCGTGTGGATTGCCGTGGCTGGCAACGGAGACCTCTTGCACGTCCTGGCGTCCCAAGCGCAACTTCTCGTTCCCCTGTGCTCTGTTCTCCATGGCCCGCCACCACCCATGACGAAAAAAATTGACCAACTCGCCAAACCGAATCAAGTCGTCCACGTCATTCTCTTGCGGCTCATCCACGCTCTGTCCACCATGCCGACGCTCTCGTCCGACATGCTGAAGCCGCTGTCACCGCTCGTGGAGGCTCTCGTCCATTGCTTGGCATCGTATCCGCTCCACTTGAACCCCAAGCAGCATGCCCCACAGCTAGCATATATCAACGACATTGCGTTGATAGTGCTGCAATATGCGAGCCACCTGGCGATCTCGACGCTTCATTTGGACACAGCGCTAAAGCAACTGATGGTTGCTGTGGAATCGGTGCCCCCACCTCATGAACTGAGACTTTTCCTCTTGCAGCTCCTCGCATCGTTGACGCAAATGGCGCCGGTCGTCGCAGCACTTCACCGTCTTCAAGGCCTCGATAGCTTTGTACGCCTCTTCGTCTCGTCTGCGTCGAGGCTTGATCAGCTGGCTACCGTCTTGGCGTGTCTGGCCCAGGCGTCGAGAATTGGAGAGTTGGAGTCCGAAGTCGTCGCTCGTCTTGTGGGTCAACCCACTGCCGCGACCGACTTGTTGCAGTGCCTCTGTCGGTCGTCTCGAGAGCCGCAGGAACATGCTGCGTATTTATTGTCGGCGATGCTTCTCCACCGGCCCGAGGTGGGGGGCAGCGCCGGGTGTGTGTCCATGTTGATCGAGTGTCTGGAAGCGGTTGACCTTGTGGTCGTTCGCTACGTTCTCGTGTGCTTGGGCAGTGTCCTCCACATTGATGGGACCCAAGAGACTCTATTGCGGCACGCAACTGTGCCCGTCTTGGCGCAAATCCTTCAAAAAGCCGATGCTACGTGCACCCAACACGTCCTTCGTGTTCTGGCGATTCTGTGCTCCAAGCACAAGGCCGCCGTATGCCGCCGTGTCGTGGCGGCGAACTTGCTCGGCATTCTCATGGCGACAGTTCGAGGGAAGGACCAGCCGACGTCCAATGTCTTCCACGCTGCGTGGGTCCTGAGTTGTGTTTCCAAAGATAGCGACCTCAGCCTTCGACTGCAGGAGGTCGATCCGAATTTTGTCCTCGAGGTTGTCCAGCTCGTCGATGTGTATCCCGTTCCCACGGCGAACAAGCTCCTTCGCATGGCCGCGAACGTGTGGACACAAGCGTTTGCGGGGCTTCCTGTAGCTGGCATCGTTCGGAAGCTCCTCTCCGTCGTCCCTACGTCCGAGGTATGTTCCATGCATTCGTTGTACTGTCGATGGACCGCTCGTGACACGTCGTATTCGTGTGCAGAGTCGCCAGGTGCAAAAGAACGGAGGGCGCGTGCTCTGTTTGCTGTTTAGTCTGCCAGACTTGGACGGACAGAATGACGTTGCGTTTGTGCTGGCTCAGTATCTATTTGACTCGTTGACATCGAATCTGGACAAGTTGGTCGCGGCGGCACTGAGGGCACTCGTCGACGGACTACAGCAGCCCGACTCGACAACCGATCGGTGCATTCGAGACCTCGTGGCGGAAGAAAGCAGCCACTTTCTCCACCTCCTTCGTCTCGTCTCGACCAATTCGTTCCACCCCGTTATCAATCGACTTGACCTCGCGCTGCAGTTCCTCACCGCCTTGATCGACTCGAGCGACATGGTCCAGCGACTCGAACCCCTCGTCCTTCCGTCGTTGCTCCATCTCTTGAGCAACGACCCTCTCGTGCATCTGAACGCTCCAACTATCAAACAACTGCTCGGACTTCTCAGCAATCTCACTCGGAGCAACGCCACGTCGTTGGCCATGAGTCCCATCGTGGTCGGGGCCGTCAAACGGCTCGTGTGTCTCGTCCAAGATGAGGACTCGTATCACTCTGAAGCACTTCACGTGTTGGTGAACTTTGCGTCGGTCACAGATCTGCGGCAGTCGATCGTATTACACGGCGGACTGGCTGCTCTACTCCACGAGCTCGACGACGACATGGTGGACGCCCATCTTCAGCTCGTGCTTTTAGGGATCGCTTCACTCTCGGCGGACGACCTGGCGAAGCAAACAGTTCCCTTTGTACCCCACGTGCCCAGATTCATGGCCTTGTTGTCGGCCCCGAACGCCAACGTCCAGTCGTTGGCAGTTTGGGTCGTTTCAAATATTTGTGGCATTGGTAAAACAACGTGTGTGTTTCGCACCACTTCTATCCTTACCCGTGTCTTTAGACGCTGTCCGACGAGCCATCAACGCCCAACATGGAGCCACCGTGCTTCAGTCGCTCCTCAACGAAGTGGTGAGCCCTGCCATGACATCACGACCCCTCTCGTCCAGCGCAAGGATACGAGAGATGGCTCCCAAAGCCATCCAAGACCTTGGCTTTGCTCCTCTCCACATGTAGTATGTTTATCGAAATGCAGAATCGCATCGACTTCACATGGATCAAGGCTATCCCTTCCTTGCTACGACATCGGCCGACGTTGCATGGTGTTGTTAAGCCATTCAAGCAAACTCCGACTTGCTTCGAGGAATCGGCCATCACTTGACTGCTTTAACGTCGCAATGGATTCTCGAGCGTATCTTCACAAACTTCCACGGAAACTTCCCTGAAAGCCGCTGTTTTCACATGCTGCGACCGTTCCACTGACCAGCGACTTGTGTGGGCAGTCGGTCTCTCGTACAAACTGGTATTGGCGGCGAAAGCAACGCGCAGCCATCCAACGAAGCAAGATTGCCTTGACGGGACTGTACCACAGCGTAGTTGGTGACTAGTACTGCGTTTTTCACCGAAGTGCTTCGACATCGTCCAAAGTCCATAAAAATAAATCGATTCGATTGGCCACTATTGTGGTTTACGGACCTATGAATTGCGCAGTGTGACTGAAATAGTTATATTTTAGCCAATCAAAATGCATTCTTTGCGAATACTATCTACCTATTCGCGTTGACAGGGACGATGTCGAGACATTTTTATGTCGCACGAAAACACTGGCTACAGTTGTACCGCATTCTCCACCCGCCCCCCTGCGGCCATCAAGGGCGGCGTACGAAAGCGAGGACTGCATGTCGTCGAAGCACGAAGTATCGAAGCATTGAAACAACACAAGCTCGAGGATTGCCAAGGTTAACGCGGCTGCTACGACTCTCGGAGTGCAGGATGCCAAATTAGTGCAATTGAAACGCATTGAGCCGATCCTGGACATGCCCTGCGGTGTAGCTTGACGCTCAACAATCCTAGGAAATGCCCGACGTGGCACGACGGGACGATTTCGCGTCGACTACAAATCGCTGCCCCCTTTGGCATGTACTGGCCTGCAAAAACACGTCTATCGTCGCCACGACGACGACGACTGCGGGTGCCCCCAAGATGAAGCTGGTCAGGTTCAAGAACTTGTCTGAACCAGCCCATGTCGGACGGGTTCCCGATGCACAAGTTCCACAACGTCGAGTTTTACTGCCAAGACGCGACGAACGTGTCGAAGCGGTTTGGGTGGGCCGTCGGCCTCAACCGGGTCGCCAAGGCGGACTGCCGAACGGACAAATCTAGGGATTCCATTTCAAGTTTTCATGTTCTACTATGTCTACACGTCCAACGTGCGTTCATATTCTTCAATGGACTTGAACAGCTCCGAGAAGTTGCCCTTGCCGAAGCCACCGCAGCCCGCAGCTTGTTCGAGGCGGCCGGCCACTTCTTCCATGCACCCCACACGCTCGATGATCTCGAAAAAGCACGTGGGGCGGTCGCCCAGCGGCTTGGTGAAGATTTGGAGCAAAATACCCTGGTCGTCCTTGTCCACCAACAGCCCGAGCTGCTCGATCTGCTCGTACTGGGCAGCCGTGAACACGTCGCCGATCTTGGTCGGCAGGTTCTTGTAGTACGCGGCCGACGGCTTGGGCATAAAGTCGAACCCACCCAAGTGCGTGCGCTTGCGCATCTCGGACATCGTGTGGAAGATGTCGTTGGTCTTGAGCGCCATGTGCTGGAGGCCGGGCCCTTCATTTTGCTCCAAGAACGTCTGGATCTGCGACTTGCGCTTGGTGCCGAACGTGGGCTCGTTCATCGGGAGCAAGATCATTTCGCTGTTGTTGGCGAGCACCATCGAGTTCAGGCCCGAGTCGACCGTGCCGACGTCCTCCGCCGTGAACTCGGCGTACTCGTGCCAGCCCGTGAACCCGCACACGTACTCCATGGCTTCGAGCAAGTTGGGCAAGTTGCCGACAGCGTGGTCCAAGCGTTGGAGACCGATGCTGACATCCGGTCCATCCACGTTTTCGTAGCCGGGCAGGTAGCGGCCGGTGAAGTTCCCAGACACATAGCGCAAGACGACTTCGCCGTACAGCTTGACTTCCGATACAACTGTGACTTGGCCAGTCGTGGCATCTTTAATCTCGCGAGGGGGGTTCACGCCCTCAGCGCCGTGGGCAACCGAGATCTCGTACGCGGCCTTGGCGTCTTCGACAGACACACCCATCGCGCGGACGGCCAAGCCGTGCTTGGCGCAGAATTCGTGGGCGAACGGCACGTCGAAGTAGGGCAGCGGGGCAGTCGACTCGGCCTTTTGCTGCTGGCGCGAGTACGGCGCCGTGATCACGAGCTGGAGCTCGCCCGACTGCATCACGTAACTCGCATACGCGTGGTTGCCCGTGCTCTGGTCCGACTTGGCGACCAGGTTGAGTCCGGCGGCCCACCCGAACCGCTTCGATACGTTCGTCGCGTCTTGGCAGTAGAACTCGACGTGGTGGAATTTGTGCATGGGGAAGCGGTCCGTCTTGGGGTTGTGCCGGACAAAGTTCTTGAACCCGACCAGCTTCATCTTGGGGGCACCAGCAGTTGTCGTTGTCGTCGTGGCCATGATTGAGGTGTTTTTGCAGGCAAGCAAATGCGAAAGTGAGTGTCCCGCACAAGCCCAAGATGCCATGGCATCTTCGTGGCAACACGACCGCCGAAATCCACGATGTCGTGTTTTTTTGTGTTGTTTTCTCGACTACATTTGTAATCGTGGCCGGGATGTTCGCATCCCAGGGGACGTGTCTCCATCGATTGGATAAAACCCGATCTTTTTGTCCAGTTCATAATGGGGGATTTGGTTTTAATCCATCCAATGAGATTTTTGCCGATTAAAACCAAATGCTATTTTTATTGTCGACAGCAGCCTACGAACTGACATATCGCCTGATGCGTGCCAAATCGACGGGTTTTAATCTATAAAACCCGATGAATTAAAACGATTTAGAGACATTTGCAATCCAATGAATTGTCGCAACATGCGAAGAGTTTGCGAATTCGGACGCTTGTGCCGTTCGACCATTCAAGTGTCTCCGGCTCCGACGTGGTGGCCCATGTGGAGTTCAGCCGAACGATTTGTTTGTCATCAAGATGGACTGCTTCTGAACCATGCTCAAGTGTGCAGCAGTGCCGACTGGAGTGTTAGCCGCCATAAAGTGTAGAGTACGAGTGGCAGCATGCTCTGCATCGCCGCAGCGACGTGCAGACGAATCTGTGCTTCGTCACGGAGGGAAGGCGACATCAGCTTGGCCAAGTACCAAACGCATACAACGGTGAACGTTTCCCTAATGCTAGCACTTGCATGGTCAACGCCAAATTCAGATGACCACTTCATCATTCGCTGGTGTCAACGGTGTGACCTGGCCAGATCTTCAGACAAGGTTTCACGAGCTGCAGCCTTGTGTACATGCGTGTAGCTTGAAAACTTGCGAAACGCTGCGGGCATTACATGCGCGTCAAGCTCAGGATGGGGTATCGACGTGAGGACAACTTGTACTTAACATAGTTGCCGAAGTACAATTCAAACGAGATATAGTAACTCAAAATGGACTTGGCAAGACAACTTAGACATCCAACGTGCGTTCGTAGTCTTCAATGGACTTGAACAGCTCCGAGAAGTTGCCCTTGCCAAAGCCACCGCAGCCCGCAGCTTGTTCGAGGCGGCCGGCCACTTCTTCCATGCACCCCACGCGCTCGATGATCTCGAAAAAGCACGTGGGGCGGTCGCCCAGCGGCTTGGTGAAGATTTGGAGCAAAATACCCTGGTCGTCCTTGTCCACCAACAGACCGAGCTGCTCGATCTGCTCGTACTGGGCAGCCGTGAACACGTCGCCGATCTTGGTCGGCAGGTTCTTGTAGTACGCGGCCGACGGCTTGGGCATAAAGTCGAACCCACCCAAGTGCGTGCGCTTGCGCATCTCGGACATCGTGTGGAAGATGTCGTTGGTCTTGAGCGCCATGTGCTGGAGGCCGGGCCCTTCATTTTGCTCCAAGAACGTCTGGATCTGCGACTTGCGCTTGGTGCCGAACGTGGGCTCGTTCATCGGGAGCAAGATCATTTCGCTGTTGTTGGCGAGCACCATCGAGTTCAGGCCCGAGTCCACCGTGCCAACATCGTCCGCCGTGAACTCGGCGAATTCGTGCCAGCCAGTGAACCCGCAGATGTCGTTGACAGCCTCCATTAGGTTGGGTACGTTGCCGACGGCGTGGTCCAAGCGTTGGATGCCGATGCTGACATCCGGTCCATCCACGTTTTCGTAGCCAGGCATGAAGCGACCAGTGTAATTGCCCGAAATGAACCGCAAAACGACTTCGCCGTACAGCTTGACTTCTGACAGCACTTGTACCTGACCGGTGGCAGCATCAGTCGTCGTCTTGGGGGACGTGATGCCCACGGCGCCGTTCTTAACAGAGGTCTCGTACGCGACGGTGGCGTCATCGACCGTGATGGCCATGGCGCGGACAGCCAACCCGTGCTTGGCACAAAATTCGTGAGCGAAAGCATTGTCAAACCCTTGGTTGGGAGCGACATGGTCCACCTTTTGCTGCTGGCGCGAGTACGGCGCCGTGATGACGATTTGTAGTTCGCCCGATTGCATGACGTAGCTCGCGTACACGTGGTTACCCGTGCTCTGGTCCGACTTGGCGACAAGTTTCAAGCCGGCAGCCCACCCAAAACGCTTGGACACGTTCGTTGCGTCTTGCGTGTAGAACTCAACGTGGTGAAACTTGTGCATGGGGAAGCGGTCCGACATAGGGTTGTGCCGGACAAAGTTCTCGTACCCGACTAGCTTCATCGTCTTGTGGTTGTTCGAGGCGGCGGCCATGGCGGCGGTGTGCGTGCCAATACGAATTTCCAAGTGTGGGGCTCCACCGCCACAGCTTCAATTTGGAATCACAGAGTGTTGGTCTGGGTGAGTGGATCGTGCCCCGGGGCACCGACATAAACTTGTACGAGTAAAAACCACGCACACGTTACTTCCTTTGATTATCAATATTTATTTTCACAGGTTTCACTCCGAAATTCGTCAACTTCGCCGAATACGATCACAAATCGTATGCCGATTTGCAATCACTGTTGAACTTGACTCAATTGGTGAATATCTGAGTATTTTAGCCAATCCGATGCATTGTTGAATGGCAAAATATCGCTAACGAAAATGTCGAGGTGGCGGCGTGGAGCGAGCGATACACGGGATGCGCGGATGACGAAGAGGTTTGACGGGACGTAGTATTGTGTGTCAAAGATGGAGCGTTGCTGGGGATGTTTGTGGGGCACAACACCAAGCGAATGCAGGCGATGGCGCGTCATGTGTGGGACGAAGCAATGTACTGTACGTACGGGACATGGCCGAGAGGACAGCGCGTGTTCGTTTGGATTTTCATTTTTCGCATCCCCCTCTGCTGGCGGCCGTGCTAGTCGACGCTGCCGAATGTTTCGAGCGCGATTTTGAAAGAGAGATGGAGTCCTTGTAAGCGAGGCCGTCGAAACAATCGCCATGGGTTGGTCCCACAGTCAACCATGGTTTCGTGCCCCAGGTTCACCACCACAAGATCAGTTTATGATGGATACTGGTCACCGTCGTCGTCCGTCTGCAGGGTTCGCTTGCAATGCCACACCGAACAAGAGAAAGACAGAACCAAGACGTACAAGATGCCCTGGACTGTTTGTATCATTCCCCGCGAGCGTTGACGGACGCTCGGCAAGTCCAACAGAATGGCGGGCATCTGGGTCGGCGCGACAACTCATACACGGTACGAACGAAAGCTTGCCTCAAGATGGTGGTGATTGCCCCCAACGATGGACGCAATTTCCGCGAGTCCAGTGTCTCCATGGGGGCATGTCACGCCGACTGCGCGCGGCCCGTCCGGATTCTCAATCCAATCGTGATTGTCACAACTGGTGTAAGTCTTGGGATCGGGCCCCTCGCATCGCTTCGATCCCGTGTCAACGTTTTTTGGGTGCACCATGTAGTAGTAGTACTTCGAAGTACTTGGTAAAGTACCTCTCGCGTTTTGCCCTCCCCCCCTCCCCCCATCACCGTACGAAGGTGTAAGGAGAAGGGGGGAGGGCCTATGAAATTTCAGATGCAGGCGGAGGGGGGGAGCCACGCGTCCCACCCAGACCAGCGTAGAATTCGGCGAGAGGAACGACCAAATTGCATAGAGCGTGGGTGGGCTCTGCCATCGTCGACTTGAAGTTTGTATGGCAAGTTGACAACGCGGTCGTCCTTTCCACGTGGTGGTGGCAGGGCTGGCTGGTCACGTCGGCCAATCACGCCTGGTGTGGGGGGGGGCTCCCTCGCCGCGTGGAAGAAGGGTGCATTCATTGATCGGGACAATATCTGCCGTTCGTGTCATGGCGATGAACACGACCGTCGACACGGTCGCTGCGGTGCTCAAGGCGAAGCATGGCGTGTTGGAGTTCAAGTGCAAGACCGAGAGCATGTTTCGGAATTGGATTACTGTGTACGCCAAAATCGAAGTACGTTGGACCGAGTGGAAGGCCCGTCATGCGCATATGCGTTCGTGTAGGGTCGATGGTTGTCGCTGTACAAGAAGAACGACACGGTGGTCCGCCTCGGCGCGATCGAACTTGGCCATGGCGTCCAAGTGACCAACTACGACGACGTGGAGATGTTTGCCCGGCGGTTTGACGTGGTGTGCACAGGTGGCGCCCTCCAAGCGATCGAGTGGAACTTTCGAACGACGACGGGCCGAAAAGACCGCGACTCGTGGGCTCGAGCCATCATGGCCAACTTGAAAATGTTCAAAGCACACGACATCGAAGCGTTCCCGCATTATCGCGAGTACGAAGGCCTTGTCCAGGACATGATGGCCAGCGTCCCGACGGCCGTGCGCCTCATCCCTCGCACCAACCACCTGATCAAAAAGAATAAAGAAGCCGCCAAGGTGCCGCTCCATGCCAAGTCGTTCCTAGGCTACGACGCTGTGACGTTTCTCACGTCTCGGAAGGTCGCGGCGACCCAAGCGGACGCGGAAGCGATTTGCCACACGCTCGTCGCGATGAATTTGATCCACCACCTCGTGTGGGCGCAGGGGTTTTCGATCAACGAGCTCTTTTGCTTTACGCAAGAACAGAACGTCAACACATGCGTCCAGATATTTGAAACCATGATCGAGCCCGGCAGGTTTTGGATTTACTTGCCGATCCCGCTTGCTGTCGCCATGTCCCACGCCGATACAAGCTCGCTCGTGACGTCGCCCCGGAAGGACTTGTACGCGGCGCCCGACATGTCGTCGACGCTGACATTCCGGAACGGGTCGGGCGCGCTACAGACAACGACGGTGCGCTCGCCGAGCTCAAACAGCAGCTCCGAGGCATCGAAAGACGCGATGACTGTCGAGATTCTCGACGAAGGCAAGTGGGCGAGCGCCGACGCCGCCAAACACTGCCATTGCTGCGAAAAGTCATTCAATCCGCTCAACCCACTCAAGCGGAAACACCACTGTCGGCTGTGCGGGTTCGTTGTGTGCTCGACCTGCGGCGTGCACACGACTGTCGGCCACGTAAACCGCGCAGTGAATGTCCGTGTCTGCATCAAGTGCAGGCTTCGCATGAAGCAGTCGCAAGAAGCGTCGTCTTCGCGGCAGCACCACATGAACCATCACAACTCGGCCCCCGACCTGTTTAGCCAGCCCCGGCACAGCCTCACGGCGACGACCTACTCGGAGCCGCTCGCGTCGACAATCGTGGCGACGACTGCACAACACTGGAACAGCGTATGCTACGACTGCAATAACAAGTGCCAACCGCACTTGAGCATGTCGCCCGAGTTCCCGCTCGACTTTGAATGGGACCATCCTTGGCCCAAGCCGCCGCGCCGCCTCAACGAAGCGCTGTGTGTTGAGATGCTTGATCAGACGCTCGTGTGCACCCAACCCGATCCATGGTTCGACCAGCTCTGCGACGTCCTCGTGAGCAATACAGGGTGTGAAAAGGCCGTGATTGGGTTCATGGGGACCCCCGGGTTTGTGCTGATGGGCACGGCCGGGTTCGACCTGCCGGGGGACTTTCCCAAGGTTGTCGCGCACGACTTGGCGTTCGCTCCGCATGCGCTCATGAGTGCCGAGCCCCTCGTGTGCTGCGACGTCGGCGAAGACGTTCGGTTTACACAAAACTTGTACATGCGCAACGAATGGCACGTCGGGTTTTACGCGTCCTTCCCGCTTGTCGTGAGCTGTGGCCTCATCTTGGGAACGGTCGAAGTGTACGACTCGACGCCACGGCGGCAATGCCACAACGTACACGTGCACCTGGATGCCGTCGCCAAGCTAGTCGTGCAATACTTGGACGACTTGGTCGAGCAATCCAAGAAAATACAAGCCGCTCCAGCCGCCGCGCCTGCTCCCGTACCAGTAGCGGCACCAGCCGCCGCGCCGGCCGACGGGCTGTCGTCCATGGAGGGCAAGCTCATGCAGCTTCTAGAGAAAACTACCGGCACGCAGTCGCAGCTCCAGCAGCAACAAGCTCTGATGGCCCATGCCGTCGGGGACCACAGCAAGCAGATCAACATGTTGGCCGAGAAGCTGCAGCGCATGGAGGCCGCCATCGATCGAAAACACGCACAGGCTGAACCGTGAGCACTCCACCAGCTCGGCGATCGTAACAATGGACCACCCATCTCCCTTCGTTTTAGTATTTCATGCGAATGACCGGCCGCCATCGTCGGGTCTGCAGACTCGGCCGCAACGCCATCTCGACACACTTTGAATATTTCACGAAATAGATAGCTCGCTGGTAAATACCCCCTCGTTGGTGGTCCCCGTCACTGGTCGTCGTCGTCCACGCCGACCCACTTCTGGAATGCGAGGAAGAACTCTTGAAAGTTGATGCTGCCGTCTTTGTTCCAGTCGAGTTCTTTCCAGCGCTCGACGTTGAAGAACTTGGTTTTGTGTGTCGTCGATTTGGCTTTGCCATTCTCTGGTTTATTGAGAATCTAATGATAACAATCCGTTGTGCGTCGGCAAGTACACAATCCGACTAACCTCTTTCATCTCGTCCCACTTGATGATCCCGCTTGCGTCTTCGTCGAACATGAGGTACGCGTTCACGACGGTGTCGAATGCTTTGGCGACGCGCTTGGCGTCCGACGCGTCCAGCTCGACATTGGCGTCGTCAAGATGGTCATCGCCTTGCGTGGTGCTGCAGGCGCTTAAGCCCGGCACGACGTTCAAGAGGTAGCAGATCGCGAGGGACACGGCGAACTCGTTGAAATTGAGCGAGTTGTCCCGGATGAGGTCCGACTCGTTGAAGATGTCTTGAATCGCGGGGCGGTCAATTGTGACGCCAAACGCGGACAGCGCGCCGCAAAAGTTATCCATTTGCATTGTTTTCCGAACGGGCTACATCATGGATCACGTCACGGACAGATCAAGGTAGCCACATACGTCGGTGTGCTTGGAGTAGATTTCCCGGATGCACATGAACGCCATCTCGACGTTGCCAAACTGCATGGCGACGCGCTCGAAGTTTGTGTTCTTGGAGAACGTGCCGTCGTCATCCATCTTCTTCTTGCGCGCTTGAAGGGTGTTGATAATCTTCTTGTCCACGGAGCTCTTGGCGACGTAGTCGCTGTCGTTCGTGATCCACGAGTCGACGTTCTTGATGGTGCCGCCGCGGCCAGGGTTCGTGCTCTCGGCCCGAGTCGGCGTCGTTCCCGGATCTTGTGAAGACCCTACCTTTGACTGCAAGCATCCCATCGCCGCCAGCACCACGTCGCGATGGCAGCCAGTTATCGGAGCTGTTGGCTCGGTGCCCAACATGGAGTGCACCATGCTATTTTTAGTCGTCCGTTCGTTGCCTTTCTTCGTGATGGAGGTGGTTGATATTTTGATATTTCATAAATCCAAGGATATTTTCAAACCCGACACACGACAGCAGCCTCCTGTCCGCGCACGTGCTGTGGTTGCCCCCAAGACGCCCATCTCTCCTGCTCAGGGCGTCGGCAAACTAGTTTGGGTGGCTTCGAGGCGCCTTTCGATGTTGTGTTTTTTCATTACACATCCAGAGAGAGTGGAAACGTCATCGGAGTGGGTCGAGTGGCGCCGCCGCACTGGAAATCCAGCCGCTGTTGGCATGCAAAGGGGTGTCATATGTGCGTTATGGAGGGGGGCGCGATGGAAGGCGGAGCTTGACGCCTGCGGCGCATCGTGTGCGCTCTGGATTTCGGCATATCGTCACCCCACCCTCGCGTGGAATCCACATAATGTTCTCTCGACATGCCTGTTTTTTGGCGAGCATGTGGGTGCTGCCTACAAAGTCGACACCTAAACGTCGAGCAGGTTCAACTTGAATTTCGTCGTGGAGAGAACTATCGACCCCGAGCGCGGCGCAATCTCGTTCGGGAATGCCGTAGCGCCGGCGGCACTACACAGCTCTTCGACATGCGCGGAGAAGCAGGTATGGATCGCGCATCGACGTGTGTGCACCGTAACGGAATATGGGTAAGTGTGTCTGGTCGGTGTTTCACAAACGTTTGGAATACGTATCCATGCTGGAGCGAGCCGTTTAAAACGTTTCAAACCGGATTCGAACGAACGTTTGAAACAAATCATTTCCTGGATTTGGGAGGATGATCCCCAATCATTCATCAATTTTCTTCGACATGAGCGCCGCTACCAACCGAGTGTCTGCGACCGCCAAGGCGACTGCGCAAGGTAAGCGACACATGTTCCGAGCCATGATGTGACTTCGTGGAGCTGGTCGTCATGCATGTGCGTGTAGCTTTGATCAATTTTATTGACAAGAGCCCGTCCCCGTTCCATGCCGTGTACGAGACTGCCAAGGAACTGATGTCCGCGGGCTTCACGCACCTCAAGGAAGACGAAAATTGGGAAAACGCTGTTGTCCCAGGTGGCAAGTACTTTGTCACTCGCAACCAATCAGCCATTGTGCGTCTGCCTTCTCAACACGACATGTGTGACTGAAGAGGTCCGTTGGCGTTTGTAGGTTGCGTTCGCGGTCGGCGGGCAATACAAGAAGGGCAACGGTTTCCACATTGTGGGTGCTCACACTGACAGTCCATGCTTGAAGATCAAACCTGTCTCCAAGATTGAAAAGGAAGGCACGATCCAACTCGGTGTCGAGACGTATGGTGGAGGTTTGTGGACGACGTGGTTCGATCGCGACTTGGGGGTTGCCGGCCGCGTATTTGTGCGAGAAAGCGACACGAGCATGACGGGTCGTCTCGTGCTCATCAACCGCCCCATCTTGCGCGTCCCAATGCTCGCTATCCACTTGCAAGACGCCGAGGCCCGAAAGGGATTGAGTGTGAACGCCGAAGAGCACTTGCGTCCTATCTTGGCGACGACCGCCGCCGCTGAACTTACCGGTGCGAGTCCTGCGGACAAGTCAGCCCCCCACCACCCGTTGTTGCTGGATGTGTTGGCGAGCGAACTCAATGTGGATGTCGATCAAATCTGCGACTTTGAGCTGTCCCTCTTCGATACCCAAGGTATCGCACTTGAGCTCAGGGCTCTTGGCCACATAAACTTGAGCTCATAGCATTCGTTGTCTGACTTAGGCGGCACGATCGGCGGTATCTTGGAAGAATTCGTGTTTGCTGCCCGCTTGGACAACTTGGCGTGCACATGGATGGCAACGCGAGCGTTGCTCGAGTCGTTGCCGACCCTGGAGACCGAAACAAATGTTCGCATTGCTGCCATGTTCGACCACGAAGAAGTCGGTTCGGAATCGCTCATGGGCGCTGGGTCCAACTTTTTGGAAAGCGTCATGAACCGCGTGAGCGAAGGGCAATTTAGCGGCGAGGGTGTCCGCAAGTCGATGTTGATCTCGGCCGACATGGCGCACGCCGTCCATCCAAACTACTCTGCTCGCCACGAACAAAACTCCAAACTTCAGATGGGCCAAGGCGCCGCCATCAAGTACAACGCGAACCAGCGATATGCCACGACCGCCGAAACGTCCTTCCTGCTCAAGGAAATCGGCCGCCGACACAACTTGAACGTGCAATCGTTTGTAACTCGCCAGGACTGCGGCTGCGGCTCGACCATCGGGTACAACTCCACTCTGTCGAATCACTGCGTCGCTGACGTTGTCGTAATTGTGTAGCCCGATCCTGTCGACCCACACTGGCATCCGCACGATCGACGTCGGGGTCGCCCAGCTCAGCATGCATAGCATTCGCGAAATGTGCGGTGTCACCGACATTGAGACCTCGGTCGAGTTGTTCAAGGCGTTTTTCAACGACTTTTCGACCGTCGATGGCTTTGTCAAGACCGATTAAGTGTCCAATATGGGAATTGTTGCATCACGTCGATGATTACACAACGGCATGTCGAAAGTACGGGTAGCTACTGCACAGTCGTGCCACGAGGCACGAGCGTTCGCAGCGCGTCGATCCACGCATCCCGCGTCGCCTCCGAGTCGGCCTCGAGGTCCAGGCGGCCGTCTTTGGCTACGATCGAAAAGCACCGCTGCACGTATTTCTCTAGGCGAGAAAAGTTGGGTATGGCAGCATGTCGGTGGGGCTTACCTTCCGTGAGGTATTTCATGAAGGCATACCGCGTCGAGTCGACGTGGCCGGAGAGCAGCCCGTCCACAGACGCTAGGGTTAGGCCGTCGTTCCGTTGGTCTGGTTTGTTGAGGGGCCGCCAGTGCAACTGCTTTCGATCGTCGCTGAGCCACACAAACCGACGGTGAGGGGCACTCCACGTCCCGTACTTTCGAAAGACGGCGCCTTTTAGAAGCACCCCCACGACGGCGTCGTCGGCGGCTCCACCGTCTCCGTTGGCGCTCCCCCGTCGATTCGACTCGATCGCGCGTTCGACAGCCGTCGTATGGCTGTCCGCTGTAGGGTTGCCCATTTCATGCTGTGCATTCAAGTTCTTCGAGAGTGGCGGCGACAACGTCATGTCGAAAGGCCGGACTGCTGCAACCTCCGTCGCACTCGACCGTCGAGTCGGCGAGTGCGGTGGGGAGTAGTGCACGATGTGATGGAGACTCGCGCGCCCACGGGTCAATGGGGGCGCGGCCGTTGGCAATGCCCCAGTCACATAGTCCGGCGACCCCTCGATGCGCCACATGTCGAGAAATTTGTTGTTGAATGCAACGGACCCGGCATAGAAGCGGGATGCGTAAATGGCGACGGGACCGTGATTGTGCATGATCTCGAGCGCCCGCGACCCACGCAGGCTTCGGGTCATGTGGTGGAATACGGCTTTGACACACTTCAGTGGCTCAAGGCCGCGGCGGTGTCTAGTCAAAGCCATAAGGCCGGCGCGACCCAGCATGTCCAAAAACGCTGGAAACGACATGGTTTCACGCCGAAAGAGGGACTCGTCCGTCGGGTCGTTGTCGGAAAACGGCGGACGCATGGTACTACTGCACGCTGCGAGGAAGAGCTCTGGGCATTCTTGCGTCGTGAGCAGCAGCTCCGTAAAGCGAAAGTCCTGCATGAAGCGCATGCAGTCGCTAAACGTCATCCAGTGACCGCTGTCTTTGGTCGCATCCGTCACTGGCTGGTTCGTGTAGAACATAAACATCTCGAACAGAGGAGGCGAAAACTTGGACACGAACCGGTGGACATCGGGCTGCTGCAATGCGTCCGTGTGGTCGAGCCACGCGTGCTGGGCCCACGTCGCGGCATTGGGCAAGACGTACTTGACCAAGAGGTGCGTAAAGGCATCGTCGGGGTCGGTAGCGTGCGGTTGCACTCGCGATGCGATCGTGAGCAGGGCATTGAGGAAGCCGTCGTAGTCGAGTTTGCCCGATCCAAGCCTAGATGGGGTCGTGGATTTGGATGCGTTGGACGTCTTGTAGCCACCAATTCCTTTGTTGGACCAGGGAGGCGCGGCGATAGAATGTGCAGACGGCGGGGACCCTTGTTGTTTCGACAATTTGCCTTTGCCTTCAAAGGCGTAAATGATGTCGCCCATGGCTGGCGTGAACTGCCTCGAGTTGAACAACCCACAGTCCTTTAGAAACCGGTGGAACTGGTACGCGGTCATCGTCAGGAGGTCCAGCGCATCGCCGTGGACGCAGTAGTACGTAAAGATGTACCAGAGTCGTTGTTCGTAGTTGGTATGGATGAACGTGTGATGTCGCGATGGCTGGCTTGGCAGAGGGGAGGTGGACGGCGGAGGGGACGATGGCCTCGGCTGTTGCTTACAGGTCAAAACCATCTTCTTGAGCCGCAACTCGTGCGCATCCAAGAACGTCAATATATTGGCTTCTTCGGGCCACAGACACTCGTCGTTGTCCACAAGCTGCGATTCCAGGTCAGGAATGCTCCAGTACCGCGCGGCGTCTTTCCGGAGCTGACCAAAAGTGTACTCCGTCGGCACCCACGTTTCAAACGTGTCTCCGTTGGCGTTGTAAACGGTGAATTTGCCTGCGGATACCATGGTTGAGTGAGAAGATGGTCCCGGTTTTTGGGAACATACTGGATTTCGTTATGCGCTTTGTGACTGCTCGTATCTTGAGACATGGGTAATGGTCGGCAATTAGATGGGTGGCTTCTTGTCGGCGGCTAAGAGGCTCGCCGCTGTCCAGAACAAATTGAAAGTCCGGCGGTGTGTCGTCCACGGTTTGCAGGATCAGCGGCCGCACACTCTCGAGGCTACGGCGTTTCATGTCGGGCACTTCGATGAACCCAATGACGCCTTTGCTCTCCAGCGAGATGCGGACGATGTCTAAACACGACAAACGATCAAGACCACGCCGCTAGCCTGTCATGCACCACCGCAGCGTACCCTTGGCATGCCAGCTCGCGGACCGCGCCAAGTGCTCTGGCGCCAGCATGTCGTCGAAACTGCTACCCAACTGGCTGTATTTTTGTGGTGGTTGATTGGCAGTTTCACCGTTCAAAATAACTTGCTACAATATGTCACCGTAATTTCGCCCCCGATTCGACGGGCTCGTTCATCAGAGTTCGATTTCGCTGCACCATGTCCGCCGTGGTGCACGACGCGGCGAAGAAGCGCTTTGCCATCTATGCGGCCGCCGCCGAGGACCAAGAGATCGGCTTCCTGGATTACGACACGCAATACCCCTCGGAGTACGAATGCATGCAACCTCATTTGAAGGACAGTCGCCTTTGACGGCGTGTAGGAACGTGACTGTGTTGGACCTCCAGCACACGGTAGTGCATCCAGCGGGCCGAGGACAAGGACTTGCTCAGAAACTATGCGACGCTGCATTCATCTACGCCCGCGAGCAAGGTAATCACACTACGATCTGCTGTCCAGTCCACGAGGATGACCTCTCTCTGTCGCTATCAGGTTTCAAGGTGATCCCCACATGCTCCTACATCACCGGCACCTACTTGAAGCGAACTACTCTCCCAGACGCGGTTGACCTCGTGTACACGCAAGGCTCCTTGTGAGTCTTAATTACATCAAATCTTCGTCTGTCCCGACATCAAACGAGCCCGTTGGCCTGGCAAGCACGCCGTCGCGGATCGCGGCTTCGACCTTCGTCGCGGGAAATGCATGCAAACTGTGCCATGTCTTGATGAGTGGTGCATCGCGTGGACGGCCATACCTCATGTCGTTGAACGCGGCGTCGTACTGGACGTACTCGTCCCACGACTTGGCGATCTTTCCCACTGCCACTTCGTCCACGTAGGGAACAAGCGCACTGAAGATGGACTTGTGGCGATCGGCCGCCGCCACGACGCGATCGTCGTACGCGGAAAAACTGTTGCCCAAGATGAAGACGTACTGCAGCGACTCCCAGTTGGCCAGGAGAACATTCTGGTAGAGCTGTTTGCCACAATGCGGCATGAAGAACAGCGTTTGCAACGACTTGGTCGCTCGCCGGTGACCTTGCTCGTTTGTAGTCAGGACGTCAAAGTCCATTGCGCTCGCGACAACTGCATCGTCCTGGAGGAATCACAAAGGAGTTCGAGGATGGTACAGAAGGGCTTGGTTGTACCTGTGTCATGATGGGGTCGAATAGACATGCATGCTGGAGATGAATCGCGGCATGTCCTGCCAACCATTCGCGGATATGTACCGCGCAAGCTAGCTGGTATGCTGCGTTGCTACTTGTGAAGCTTCCCAGGCCATAGCAAACAAGCTGTATCACCAGTGGGGTGTCTTCAACTTTCCTTGATGCAATGTGACCGTCGAGTGCATCGAAGAGATGGCCGAGGAACGGACTACGGCGCATGACGTCGACGTGCCGCCTCACCTTGCCGAGAAGGATGGCCGATGCATCCTTATCGGGGACAGACGGCGCGCTCGCTTTGTGCTTGTACGCGAACGGAGGTGCGTCATTTGACGGTGCCTGGTGTTTGACGACAGGCTTCCTCGCCGACTTGCCCTTCCGGCCGACGAACGTCCATATCTCGTCGCTCATGGCGACACCAGCCACAACGCGCTCGAAAATAAAAAAATACATACAAAAACGCTGATATTCGCCATGTGTCAAATAAAATTGAACCTTCTCGACCATGGGATATGGCCAAACATGGCTCTTCCGGTACCCCGCACCACTGCATGATGCAGAAGTCGGCATGGAGCGTGAGTATTCGCGGCAGCCTTCATACTACGACATGGAAGACGTGGATGAGGAAGAAGCGACAAACGTGACGGCGATGATCAGTCGCGACAAGGACGTTGCGGCCTTTGCCATGACACCAATCGCGCCAGACAGGTCCGACGCATTGCTTCTGGCGCTTCTCGTACGCGTTGGTCACGCATCTGTAGAATTCTCGTGACCACGCCTTGGACGGTGTGTGAACTGCAGTATCGACGCGACGACAATCAATTTCATTTCTCGGCCGTTGGTTTGAGGAAGGATTCGACGCCGACACCACTCGATCGCGCGATGGCGAATGCAAACATGCCGCATGAGGCGTCCTTGCTTTCATGCGACGTACTCCAGCTACCGTCTTCTCGATCCGTCTTGTTGTTGCTGTACCAGGAACCTCGTGACGGTCGATGCTGGCTAACGCTGCAACCAGTTGGGTCGGGGACGCACGGCGAACAAGTCAGCGGACGACGGCAACGATTCGAACAGAGCTCCGTGCCTCTCAAGCCCGTCGTCGTCACAGCGCGCCACAACGAGAAAATCTTCTACGGCGTGCTCCTCTTTCGCTTTGAGTCCGTCATCGCGTGTGGGTATGTGCACGACAGCAGTACGTCCCCTGACAACCAGACTCCCCTGGAGGTAAACTTGCCATCGCTGTATTGTTCGCATGATGGCGTGACAAGGTGGATCGTTGCAGGCAGAGCAGCTCCCTCCCGACGACTTCGCACGGTTCTTTCCACACTTGGTCGAGTGTCCGCTCGGAGTCACAGCGTACCATACGACCACCACGACCAGCGACAAGGAATCGCCAACTCGTGTCTTGGCTTTGGGGTGTGCGAACGGGTACTCGATCGTTTGCGTCGGCGCCTGTCACGGCATTTCGTGATGGGAGTAGGGTCATCAAAGTCATGGGGGGCAAGGCCGCCCTCGACGGGTTTGAGTCGGTGGCTTGCACAAAGCAATTCGAATTGGACGGTCCCATTTCGTCGCTGCACGTGTTTAACGTTCACGCGCACGTCGACACCCGCGACAGGTGCCATGCGTTGGGCCAACGTCATCTGTGCCAACGGTCGTTTGTGGTGGTGGTAGATGTGCCATGCACTGCGACGTCCTTGTGAGCAGCAGCATCGGGTTCGCGGCCGTGTACCACGATCCGTTCGACTCGGCGTGCCGCCCGCACGTGTTGCCCGAATCCGACTACTACGACAGCATTTTGTGCTGTCTCTCGGCTGACATCGACATGGTGCGTCATGGAAGCGATGCCTTGTTCAAACTTGCGAGTGTAGGACGGCATCCCCGAACTCCTTCTCGGCACATTCAGCAACGCCTTGATTGCGTATGAGTCCAAGCCAGACTCGAGGAACGCAACCAATCCATCTCCAGGTACACGCTATCCTCTCCATGATGGAGGTATGCGTCGATTGGAAGCGTCGAGTCGCCTCGATCCCGCGCAACACAGCACTAGATTTGACAAGTGGCCGACCGCTCGTTGTGGCCGTAGGTGGAGCCGATGCCTCGGCGGCGTCATGGCGTGTAGTCGCCAAGGACAAGTGGGATTTCTTCTTTTTCGGCCCGGTCTACGCGATCGTGTGCCAGGACATGAACGGCGATGGTGTGGACGAGCTCATCATTGCGTCCACGGATGGCATCCACGTGCTGGAGCCCGACTGCGACCAAGTTCTCGAGAAGCTTCATGCAGTGCTCCAAGCACTACAGCAGCCGGGACCATGATGACCACCCCGAAACTCCCTACGTTGAACGTCCAATGTGGTCGATAGCTGTTCATCGTGACCAAGTTAAAGTGGAATCATATCGGGATATTGCGGTCTAGAGCTGTATTGTGTGGTATCATCCAAGTCGTGTCTTAAGCATAGGTGGGCATGGTCGGCGCCTTGTACAGGATCAACTCTTCGCCTTCCGGCAACGGGGCAAAGAACGAATCGACTTCGGCCGCCGTCACGTCCGATACGTGCGCATGCTGCCACTTGGGCTTGTTGTCCTGACCCCGAGGAATAAGTGTTTTCCATTGTCACAGAGCAAGTCGCACGCACCTTGTCCACGATGACCGCGCGGACCCCTTCGAAAAAGTCCTGGGACTCCATGAACCGCGTCGCAAGACGGTACTCCATTTGGAAGCACTCGTCGATCGTCTTGTTGGCGCCTTCACGCATCTGGCGCAACGTCACGTTCAAACTCAACGGCGACACCGATTGCAACTTGTGGAGCAAATTGGTCGCCCACTCGCTCTCGTGCGCGGTCAAGCGGTCAAAAATGCCTTGAACCGAGTCGTCGGCGTTCTTGGCGCCGAAAATTGCCTCCACGGTCGTCAAGAACTCTACAACGTTACCGCTTTGAGCGTCCGCGCATTATTTCTGGCTGACAGAGCAAGCACCGGAGATGTCGTTTACCTTCGTCGACGGGGTCCGTGGTCGATTCGATCATCGTGATCGTTTCGGCGACCATGTCATCGCGGGTGTCCTCTGCCATGTCTTCCGGGAAGTTGAATTCACGAAGCTGGTCCTTGAGCAACTCGACGTCCTTCGCGTCAACGTAATGGGTGGCGAGCGCGAGCGCGAGCAGTTCGGCGCCCTTGATACGCTCTCCAGTCAACGCCAAGAATGTGCCCAACTACATCATGCGGTCAAGAGAAGTCGGACCTTTGCATACGGTGGGCGGCAGTTCGCGCAAGCGTATACATACCCCTTGGCCAGCCAACGCTTGCGCCGCCGACACGACAGGTTCGTACTTGTCTAGGTCGGCAAGCTTTCGACCCAATCGCGGCAAAATGTACGACGCGCCAACATCGGGGAAGAATCCGATGGCCGTCTCGGGCATCGCCAACGACGTCTTCTCCGTGGCAACGACGAACTTGCCGTGGAGGGACAAACCGACGCCGCCGCCCATGGTGATCCCGTTGATGATTGAGACCACAGGAGTCTTCATCGTCGCCAAGATGTAGTTGAGACGGTATTCTTCGCGGAAAAAATCCAGGGCCAAGTGGCGGGTTTCAGGGTCCTTGCCATTGTCGTACAAGAACCGGATGTCGCCGCCTGCGCAGAACGCCTTTTCACCCGCGCCTTCCAACACGATCGTGTTCACGGTCGGGTTCTTTTCAAATTGTTGGATCATCGGCGTCAGGTTTCGCACCATGGGCAAGTTAAGCGCGTTCAGGACCTTGGGTCGGTTGAACGTGACGGTACGGGTGTTGACGTCCTGACCGTACAGAACTTCCTCAAACGGAGGCTGCTTGAACTTGGTGCGTTCCTTGTCGTATTGGTGCACCTTCGTGGACAACGACGCCGAAGCGCCGTATTCCGGGCGTAGCTGACGGTGCAGGCCCTTGAGCGCGCGAGTTGCGGCGAGTCGGCCAAGCATCTCGAGGATTTCAAAAACTGTTCGCTGTGAATGAGTGACCTGTATCCGGAATTCCGAATACTCGACAAAGTGAGGCTGGTGGAATTTCGTCGACATGGAACTCGATTTCGGCGGATGGACGGCGGACTGGAAGGACGTTGGTGTTGGAAGATGACGGTCGCATTAGCTCTGACGAGTTTGTAGGTATGAAGGATGCGATGGAAGGAAGTTGGTGGAGAGAGGAAGGATGTGATGGGGGTAGCAATAGCTCTGACGAACGTGTGGTGATGAAGGATTCGCTGGAACGACGGTGGAGTGAGGATGTAATGGCGGCAGCAGTAGCACGGACGAGCTTGTGTGGGATAAGCGATTGGTGGCGAAACTGCTGTGTGGACTCATTGACATGAAAAGTTGATTCAATGCATGGCGTGCTGACGAAGACGATATCCTCGTCAGCACTCAGCAGCCTCGATGTCCATTGTACAGGCCAGAGCCGATGGCTTGCATTCGTTTGGCAATAATGTATACATACAAAGCTATGCAACTTACATAATGGTACAACACCCCTTGGGTGCCGGCGACTGCTTTTTCATGTCGGCAGGTTTTTTCGACTTGGCCGAGGGGGGCACACGGTCGGACACAACCCGAGTCACGCCATCGTCTACTTCTGGCTTCACTTCGAACACCGGTGCCACAGGTGGTTTGACGACGTCCTCGACGACTTGACGCGGTGAGGCAACTGCTGGCGTGGAGATGACAACTTCGACTTCCGGCACAGGCGGCAGGGGCGTCACAATTGTAGGGACTGCTGACGAGCCAAACCCTCGTGGAGCCGGCGTGGATTGCTGCGGCCGAGCAGGGGACGACCCCATTCCCCGTACAGCAGAGTCTGCTTTTGCATCAGGAGTGGACGCATTCTTCGCTATGACGGCAGGTGGGGCCTGCACCAGGGAAGATGCGACAGGTATGGTTGGCGGAGCCACCCACAGTTTGGCCTTGAGATCATCGCTAGACGACGTGCGGACAATTGAACCCTTGCTAGCTGGAGGGGGAATGTCTGTGGCGATCATGGTTCGTGTGGGGAGGACAGTCGGCACGGCGCTTTCATCAGGTACGTAAGTTGCCCCGCCCTTTTGAATCCAGAGCCCCGAGTCGGTAGCAGGGGCCGCCGCCAGGGCCACAGGAGCAGCAGCAGCCTTGACAGTGGTGTTTTGGTTAGGAGAAAACGCACGCCGGTTGGTGCTATCGTCCTTGCTGGCACGACTGATAGTCGCATCGCCAGTCATGCCAGGCAGCGCGACACCAAGCGGTTTCGTAGGGGCAGTAACAACTGGGGGCTGAACAACGGGCGTCGCCTTGGGCGATATCACCCATAGCTGGGCCTTGAGGTCGTCGCTCGATGTGTTCCGAACGATCGGCTGCTGGGGTCGAGGTGGTGGCACGACGTCGGTTGCAATCGGATGCCTTGTTGTCAACACGGTCCGTTCCGCGTTCGGGTCTGCCACGTAAGCGGCTCCGCCCTTTTGGAGCCACAGTCCATTGCTCGCTTTTTCTCTCTGCGGTGCAACGGGGGGTGGGGACGGAAGGTCTCCCATGGAGAAGCGCGACGCAAAATCTGCGACGATATCGGGAGTCATCGACTCGAGCACGCCGTCCTCGTCGGTTGTGTGGTCAAAATCGTCATGGTCTTTGTCGTCGTGCTCAGCGTGAACGTAGTCGTCCTGAACATCATCATTTTCATGAACAAAGTCTTCAGATTCCCGGCAGTCTTCGGACGGACGGTACACACCCTCGTGGTTGTAGTCCGAGTCACTGCAGCCATCGTCGAGGTGTCCGTCGTCGTCTGCATGGCCGTCGTCTTCATCGTTTGAGTGCAGCTCCCCCGTGTCCATGTCGACGGATTCCATGATAGCTTCGCCCACTGTCTTCAAAGGGATAGCCGACACGACTTGTTTGGCAGCATCGAGGAATTGCCCACGGTTCTCGTACGCAGTTGCGACTTTCTGAGACGCGACGGCCGTCGCTTCTTTCGCCATGCCGACGGAAGCATGGTACGTATCTGCAACTTTGTTGGCGACGGCCGCAGTCGACACGTACTTGTCCAAGAACGCCGAGAGTGGTTTGTCTTGAGAACTCGTCGGGGGCGTGTGGCGCAACGGCATGCCAGCACCGCCATATTGCGGATGCGCATGAGCTTCCGACAACTGTCGACGGTGGAGTGTAATGTCGACGGTGGGACGACCCATGACCTGGCAGACAGCGTCGTACCATCCCTGGAGGTCGGCAGAGGAGGACGCGCGGACGTTCACGATGCGGCCGCTGTCGAGATGGAATTGGAGACCCTGTTCCGTCACGGTCACGTCCGACACCCGCCCGCCGCCTTTTTGGTTGCCGTCGATCTTGTCGAAGTACGCCACATCCAGGTCTCTTAAGACAAAATACCGCGTTTTCCACGACTTGACCATTTCTCCTTCCTTTTCAAGCCACCCGACGTACGTTGGTCGGTTCTGCATCACTTGCTGCTGCTGCTGTTGGCGGTATTGTTGTTGGTACGTGTCTCTCGTGGACGATGTTTGGGACCGCAGCGTGTACGGATTTTGCCTTTGCGGCTGGGGTTGCTGCGGGTATTGCTGGGGTGGTGATCGCAGATTGTCGTTGGAGCCGCGGTATTCGTACGTACTTGGCGACGCTCCACCCACACTGGATTGCTCAGATCGCGTACTGCTTGATCGATATTCGCCCGCGGCAGCTGCCGCTGGCGCAGACAGGCGACTTCGGTACGTCGCGACGGCGTTCTCCATCGCGTTTTTGCACATGACGAATTCTCCCACGGTTTTCGTCGTAATGTTCATGGCTTTGCCTTCGTTGCTCATCAAGATCATGCAATTGTCATGCGATTTGTTGGGTTGGACGCCGGCAAGGACAAACGATCCTTTTTCCTTGGCGCGCGGGTTTGACACGTCTTTGTCATAGTACGAGATGTTCTGTCCCGAGAGCACCAAGAACCGCTTCTTCCACGACGGGACGACGCTTCCCTGCTTCTGGATCCACCCTCGCCATTCATTCACGCTGGAATCTTTCTGCATTGTTGCCGCGCCCGCCCTTCGTCCAACTCGATTGATGTTGTGTGACTTGCGTGGAAAGGGTGGAATATGTGATCGCCCATTCACTTGGTGTTTGTATGGCTGGGCCACCGCATCCGCGCCATCTCATTGGCTCCTTGTCCTCTGTTGCTGGGTCGCGAGGGTTCTGATTGGCTCATGCGTTGCAATTGCTTGTCGCGGCTGCGGAGATGGTTGTGCGGATGTGGCGAGGAAGCGTGGCATGCGACGTTGGCTGCGCTGCTCGCTGAGAAAGTGATGAGGCAGCGTATGCGTTCGTCTGCATCGGTCGTGGCCTGTTATGACAGTGTCGCAGGCGAATTCGAGGACTTCTTGGACCCTTTCAACTCCCAGGCATTGGAACACCTGGACATATTTCATGGAGCATTATATGGCTCGTCGGTCGGTCAACCTCAGGTGCTATCTCCTGGCGCTCTGTAGTCAACCTTCCTCAGGCAAACACTGCAGAGTGCGGGGATGGAGTCCCACACCAACCAACAACTCGCATTAGCCCGGCATTTTCGAGCAAGGGTCTGCCACGACGTTTCCAGGTGGTCGTCGTGCACCGTGAGAAGGCAGTCCACATGGAGCACAGCTTCTGTAGCCTTGTCCGTGGACTCGCGCACAACTTTGGAGCGTCCGAGATGCATTCAGATTGACCCTACAAGTTGTGTGCCATCTCACACATGCAACGATAGTATGTCGGCCACGCACTGCTTCGAAACCCAACGTCGTCGCCCAAGCTCACGGGCCCCCGTACGCGCATGCACACCGACAGCACCTCACGCCCGACAGCGCCTGCCAAGCCGGTGTGTCGTTGGGTTGTTTGACTTTGGCTGTATAAGTTTGACTTGAAATTTGTTACGTGGTTGGTCGCCGCTTTTAAACCAATTCACGCTATTTCATTGGCTGGAGAATCGTCAATGGAGCGATCGGATTGGTCAGATTTTGCTCTGGAGTAATGTGCTTCACCTTGATATTTGTATGGTATACTGAGCGCAAGCTCATGTCGGCGGAGAACAGGGCCGTCAATTGCCCAACTTCGTCGACGACGATGCAGTCGTACGACTACGCAGGATGGGTGTACAAGCAGGGGAGCATGATCAAGAGCTGGAAGAAGCGGTACATGGTGCTCAAGAACAAGCAGCTCACGTATTTCGAGAGTGAAAAGGTGGAGGGCAACTCCAAGGCGAAAGGCAGCTTCCAGGTGATCACAGTTGAGATTGCGCACGATATCAAGAACGGCCTGCTTGTGCACGGCACAGGTGGCCGTGTGATGAAGCTGTACACAGACACTGCTGAGGGTTGTGAAGAATGGATTAACGCCATCGCACAAGCTACGTCTGGCCAACCTCCTCTTGTCGCCCAAGTCAGCGTTCGAGGTCCGTTGAACGGGTCAGGCAGTTCGATGAGTTTCCCGCCCCGCGACACGCGCAGCAACAGCTCGGTGTCGTCGTTGCGCAGCAGCATCGCCGCGGACGATGACACCGGTGGGTGTTTTGGATGGCTCGCCAAGGAAGGCGGCCGCGTGAAAAATTGGAAGCGGCGCTACTTTTCGCTTCAAGGGCGGTCGCTGACATATTTCGACAACGCCAACATGACTGGCGCAGCCAAAGGCAACGGCCAGGTGTGCGGTGTCCGAATAAACAAAGACAAGCCTCTGTCGATCGACGTCAACTTTGAGAAGGGCCGCGTGTTACGTGTGACGGCGGACAACAAAGACGACTTTGAAAAGTGGTGGATGTGTTTGAACGCAGCCGTAGAAGGGCGCAGCGTGTCGCGCGCAAGTCGTTCGTCCATGTCGGGGAATGCTGCGGCCGCGGTAGTTAACGTCGCGGCAGCTGCGCCTGCATCCTCGAACGCGATCTTCCGGTCGTTGGACTCTTATGAAAGCCACGAAGACGTCTCGATCGTCGCCAACAAGTACGCGACGCAAGACTCGTCCGCAGCCGAAGCGTCTCGACTGACGAACAACCAGTCGTGGTTGAGCTCGGACTCGGACGACGACAAGGAAGACGGAGATTGGCTATAGGAAGTTACGATTCAATGTATCAGTGGTCGAAATGTCGTTGGTTCCAGGCACATGGCGAGGCGCGCGCGGTGTCCAGGCGTCGAAGCGGAGGCTCCGTTGCGTGATGGAATTGGCTCGAGTCGCACCACTGTCTATGCCATCGACGCGATGAAGCATTCCGTCAACGTGCGTGTGGGGAATCTTGACCTCACACCGTGACGAGGCTTTCAATCACGAGAAACGACGGAAGGGGATGCGACGAACCATCGCCAGTGCCGTGGGTCGGTTGTCCGTGCAGCAAGGCGAGATATCTCGACGTTCCAGGCGTCGTGGCCCGGTCTGTCGTTTGCTACGAAACAGTGCCGTGCCACGAGAGGGGTCTCGCCCGACCCTGGCGTCAAACACAAGGATGCAGTCTCGGCGTATCGAGGCATGCCCCAGCGCGATCGACGGCATCAAGTCCTCTCTGATCTTCGTGCGAGTGTTTGTCGTGCATGACGTGGATGATGCACGCGTCACTCGATCCATTCCTTGCCCGGCGACTCAACGAAGACGGTCGGTAGGTTTAAATACGATGTTGGTGTGCCACTTAAATAGTCGTCAAGTGACGAGGGTCGTCGAGGGTGGCACGACGACGAGTGAGTCGTTCAAACTTCGCTTCTTGCACTCCTTCCGATGCGCCGTCAGGTTGTCTTTCGTCTTGAACGCTTTTGGGGCGTGCATGGGGGGGCAGTCCGGGCACAGAAATGGACGATCGTTCTGGTGCACGCGCTGCCAGTGCCGCTTGACAATCTGCAGCGTCTTCATGCACTTGCCCCCTTCTTCGCTGAATTCGCAGCCCGCGACCGGGCAGTATTTGGGCCCGACCGGGAACGGCAGCTGGTCGCCGAGCACGTTGCGCGGATCCTCCGTCGGGTGCTGCTTGGCATGAAACGCAAGCTGAAAGTAGTTGGAAAATGTACGACCACACCCCAACATGCACTGGAATGGCTTGATGCCGTCCTGGAGGAGGTGCAGTGGGGCCACCATTGGTGTCAGGCTCACGAGCTTTGGGTGTTTCGGGGCTTTCTTCTTCTTCGCGGTCGTCGCAGAGGTCGCCGTCTGGATGGCTTTCGGCTGCTTGGACGGCGACATCTTGGATGTGATGGTCTTGCAGTGGCTGGTAGAGGATGCCGTCGTTGTCGCCAGTTGGGCTTTGAGGTCCATGATAACTTGACGTTGTTCCTTGATCGTCTCCGCGAGGCGGCGGCATCGACTCTTCTCGCTCATGTCTCGGAGGGAAACCGCAGCGGGCATCAATGGCACGGCAGGTGAAACCACGACGGAACGAAGAGGTTGCTTGGGTCCCGCAGCCAACTTTGCCGTCTTCTTTTGGCGCTTCTTCACAGGCGACAGCTTTCCAGGCGGTAGCGGAGGCGGCGCTGCCTTTGCATGGACGTTTGCGTGCATGCGAAGAGCTGAACGAGAGGCATATCGCTTGCCGCAGTCAGCTTCAACGCACACAAACGGCCGCTCGCCAGTGTGCACTCGGCGATGCGAGCGCAGCGACGCGACGCGAGCGAAGCACTTGTCACAATCAGGGCAGCGCAGGTTCTTTTCGCCCGTGTGGACGAATGTGTGGTCGCGGAGGTGTGCATTGTCGGCGAACGACTTGCCACACCCTGGGTGGGGGCACTGAAAATTGCGCATGCGAGGACGCATCGCGGTCGACGTTGGTAAGGAACCTGACGACGACACTCGGGGAAGCGTTGACGTCGACATCGCACTGAGCTTGACGCGCTTCGAAGGAGGCTGCGTGATGGTGTTAGCATTTGTGCTGTCGCGAGAGGTGTCCAAACCGTCCATCGAGACGTCTTCTGGGAGGAAGAGGTCGTACGAAAAGTACGGTTCGTTTGTCGAATACATGGGCATGATGGTGTCGAGGGATGGCAGGTGCAAGGACAGTAGGTCATTAAAGTTGGGAGGTGAAGATGAGGCGGCGACTGGTGTGGCCGACGTTATGTCGGAGATTCCAGGGATGGTCGTGGAAGCGTCGGCGGTTGCATCAAGACTTGAAGGAGGCGGCGACGGCTGGAACAAGAGGGTCTGAATGATCTCCTTGTCACAATCTAGCGTCAACAGTTCTTTGTGTTCATCGGCATGATTATTCAAATGGGGGACGAGCGACGAGCAGTGCTCGAGGCCATGGTGGGTTTCACTCAGTGTATCGAGCGCAAGACTGGTGCCGGGAAAGCCGCCACCACTTGTCAACGATCGACCTTTCTAGGAATGAGCAGGCGACGATGGACGACCTCGACTCTGCTCGCTTGCGCACGCAACACTCCCGAGACGCCGACCACCACCGGCCAGGGGTTGAAAATCTAGAATGTTGCCGCCGTCCACCGACCGCCACCGCTGTCGTGAGAAAATCAGACGGCATGTCCGTCAAAAATGTCAAAATTTAATATTGATCGGCATACGGAGATCAATATATTTCTCATTGCAATAAACTATTCGAATAATATGGTGCGAAACCGACCCGACTTGCACACGTGGGGTGCCGTTGACCGGTCAACGGCCGCCCCGTCGGTGCTTCGCCCGACAGAAACGTATTCTACGTCTGATAGACGACAATGCCTAGCATGCAGCACATGCATGCATCACCACCGTCCCATTCCGACTTGCATCGAATACGTCATTGCCAGAACCAACGATGCGACCAACAACACACGGCGGAGATACAGAAACCAGAACATATTGAACGCGTCCTTTAGATCCGATCAACCCTTCGTCAGGCGCAGCAAGCAGGTACTCGCTACACTCCACGGGCACTCACACGCGTCCGGCAGAACGACGCCGCAACGTGCATGTTTCTCGGATCAATTGCTTGTCATCAAGCTTGTCATCGAGGTATCGTCGATCGAACGAGTCGTACGATCGACGAACACAACGATGGATTTTTTCCCCGCGAGAAATTGTTTTTTTCTTTCGTTCGTTTTTGGAAACACCACATTAGCCAGAGCAATACAAACAAAAACATTTTTTTCTTGACTGATGTCGGTGGTCCGACGAGGATAGTCCAATGTGTATAGATTACTCAAGATCTCATGATCGCATGATTGCTACAAAAATTCCCGACGACGACCAACATTGCCCGAATTACAATAATTTCATATGAGAAATATCATTATAGCGTTGGTCGTGCGCATTGTCGTCGCCACTTTCAATTTGACGGCACGACGACCATGGTCGAGGCGGTGCTTGCGGCAGTCTGGCATTTGCACCACAGCGTCGATGCAGTGGCAAGTGATCCTGTCGTCGTTGGCCGTCTTGGCGTTCACACACGTCACCGAAGGCAAGCATGTCGGGCGGCATGAATCAGGCCGCGGGGCTGATATGTACGACTTCTCCAAAGTGTACAAGGTCGAGGCCCCCATCAAGATCGCGGAAAGGGTCAAGCAATCGATCGAGCACAAGGCTGGCAAGTCAGCAACATATACTATTCCGTTCAAGGGTCCATTCGTCCAGGTCCACTTCTCCGACTTCTCGCTTCCCGACGGCGATTCGATTACATTGTCGACGTCTGCCAAGCACCGGCAAAAAATCAAGGCCGGCGACTTGAACGAAAGCGGTCTCTCCAACCGGTTGGACACTGGCAGCTCGACCCTCACCATCGAGTACAAGTCCAATGGCCCCCATCACTCCCGTGACGCGAAGGGGTTTGCCATCGACTACATCCTCCATGAACCGAAGAAGGCCGCCAAGAAGGAAGACGTGTGCGGTGCGAAACCGGCGTGGGAGCCCGCTCAATGCCTCGCCAAGACAGATTCCGTCAAGTACACCTTGAGCAAGGCCACTGCGCGTATGGTGATCCAAGGCGGCCAAGGCGCAGGCACGGGATTCCTCATTGGATGTGACGGCTGGTTCCTCACCAATGAGCACAACATCGAGACGCAGGCTGCGACGACAGCCGCCACGTACGAGTTTGGCAGCGAGTGCTCATGCGACGACAAGCAAGGCAACACGAAAATGATGGGATGCGAAGGCAAGGTCAAGATCACGGGCGACGCCACACTCTTTGCAGTCAACAAAGAGCTCGACTATACCCTCGTGCAATTTGACAAAAAACACTGGGCCACCTTGGAACCGTTCGGCTACTTCACGCTTCGTCGCAGCGGGGCCGAACTTGGCGAGAAGATGTGGGCGCCGCAGTACCCCCAAGCCCACCCGCTGCAGATCGTCCAGCGACTGGAAAACCAGACGGCCACAACGATCACGAGCTTGAACGTCGAGAACGAGTGCGGGAAGGGCCAGGTGGGGTACTATGCTGACACGATGGGCGGGTCAAGCGGAGCGCCAGTCGTCGGCAATGCTGACAACCAAGTGATTGCCCTCCACCACTGCGGTGGGTGTCAAAACGTGGCGTACTCGACCAAAAAGATCCTCGACGACGTCGAGAAGATCTTCAAGTCGAAGAACATTCCCGTGCCGACATGCTGGACGCAAGCCAAGGGTGGACTGGGCAAAAGCGCTGCCGAGACCCCTGCCAAGAAGCATGGAAATGGCAAGCAGCCTATCGACTTGAGCAGCCTCTTCACCCCCAAGGGGGATGCAGGTGGCAAAGGAACTGCACCGTCGGTGAGCGCTGGAGGCCAAGCAGACACCAAGAAGCCCAAGAAGCACCACAAAACCGCGCTGTCAGCTCCGGCGGGTGCTGAGGAAATTGCCCCTCAGGCCTCTCCCCGTCATCACACCGCATCGGGAGAACAAGCAGACGCCAAGAAGCCCAAAAAACACCACAAAGCTACGCAGGCAACTCCGGCGGATATTGAAGAACCTGCCCCCCACGCCCCTTCCCGTCATCCCGCCGAATCGGCACGACGTACCAAGAAGAGCGGACGTCGCAATGGCGGTGCCCGCAACGTCCCAGTCCAACAAGTCGAGCAGGTTGAGCAAGTTGAACAAGTCGTGCCTGAAAAACCTCGTCGTCGACGCCAATCTCCAAGACGCCCTGTTTCGCAACCAGTTGACGAAGGCGAGGTTCCTTCTCGCCGTCGCCGCGGCGGCCGTGCGCCCCCCACGCAAGAGCTTTACGAAGTCAAGGTGTGTAAGGCAGCCACTTATGCTGTCGACGCTCCTCCGTGCTCCGAGACGGGCGACGCTTGCCCTAAGGCGTACGATGTACCGATCGGAGGGTGCTACCCTGGCGTGATCAACTCCCCCACGGGGTGTGTGGTCCCTGAAGATGCCATTTGCATGCAAGCACCGAGCCCCCAAGACGGATCGATCTACTACAAATGCGTCTTCCCCTCCGTCGGCTGCTAGAGCCCCCTGATCCATTCTTCGTTGGTTTTCGAGTCACCTTCGCGAGGAATAGCATCGCTTTTTTGCATTGCTGCTGTCAATGGAAGGAGGCGAATATAAATATTACTCGGATATGAGATTTTCCAAAATATCCAGTTTTTGATTTATCTAGTCCACCCTCACCGGTGCACGACACGACGTCGTCAATCGTATCCGGAAAAGCAACCATGTTGATCTGTCGGTATTCCTTGTCATTGTCACGATGGCGAGGAGATGGATCGGCGTCGGTGCGGCGTTCGCGTTTGCGATGGCCGTGGCACCGACGATCGTGATGGGGGCGACGGTGGAAGACACAAAGCTACAAGTGAAGCGCCCGTTCATTGGTAAGATAGGTGAACTTGTCAACATCACACTGTCGATCCCAGTGGGCAAGCGCGTCCATCACCGCATCGTGGCGACCAAGTCGCAGACACAGTTCATGGGGCTGCGCTTCTCAACATTTGACCTGGCCCCTGGCGACTCGCTTCAAGTGTTCTCGGATAGCAACAGCTTCACGTACTCGGGCCATGGTCCATCGAGTCACTTCTCGGACAACGTCCATGGCAATGCGTTGGAATTCTTGTACACACCAGGCCACTCCCATGCATCGACATCGCACGAAGGCATTACGATCACGGCGGTGCTCGAAGGGTTTCCATCTTCGACAGGCCGAGAAGACGTGTGCGGAGTCCAGCCGCAGTGGTGGCCGAATGTGTGCAACGCCACAAAGCTCCCCGACGCGTACAAAAACTCCAAGTCCATTGCACGGCTCACGATGGACGGAATCAAGTACGGCACAGGGTTTTTGGTCGGGTGCGATGGATATTTCCTCACCAACAACCACAACGTCAACACGAAAGCAAGTGCGTCGACGCTCAAGTTTGAATTCGGCGCCGAGAGCGCCACTTGTCGCGACCCGTGCAACTCGGTGGCGTTAGGGTGTCCTGGCAGTGTCGTGGTCACGGGGGCCAATTTGCTTGCCACTGACGAAACCCTCGACTACTCGTTGCTCCAATTGAGTCCTCGAAATCGAGCGCGCGTTGCCCAATTTGGCTACCTCAGTCTTCGCAAAACAGCCCCCACGTTGCACGAGCCCATTTACGTCATCCATCACCCGGACGGGTTTCCCAAAGCGTTTACGGACCGCCTTGAAAACGGAACCGAGACCGTCGTGACGAGCGTGTCAGTCCACAACGAGTGCGGCAAGGACCAAGTGGGATACATGGCCGACACACGGGGCGGGTCGTCCGGGTCGCCAGTCTTTGGCCGGGTAGACCACAAAGTCATTGCGCTGCACCACTGTGGGGGCTGCGAAAACGTCGCGCACGCCATGTCCAAGATTGTCGCCGATCTAAAGAAGAAGCTCAAGGGAAACGTACCTCGATGTTTCTTTCACTCCCACGAAGCCAAGAGCACGTGTTCGCTTCCAGAAGAACACGTCGAGTTTGTCGGGTACGACTGCGGATCGGTCCTAGCCGCGAATCCCGCGCTCTGCTGTGGGCTGTGCAGCAAGCACAAAAGATGCAAAGCCTTCACATGGACCAAGCTGGACAGACATGCTGACGGCGGCACCTGCTGGTTTAAGAGCATGGTCGGGACGCCCGTCCACACTCTCGGCGGCGTGTCCGGTGTTGTCCTGGGCGAGTAGCACAACCCCGTGATGATACCAACATATCCATCTTAATTTAAATCAAGCGAATCGCGGCCGCCGTGCAGTCGTTCGTGGTTCGGAAAACACGGCGTCGTGAACGACGTGTGCCTCAGGGCGTGGTCGAGCTCGGCCATCAATTCCTTGTCGTTGTCGCCAGGAAGGGTGCTATGCCGCCTGCCAGTCGGTCGAGGTGGAATGGATTTGTCGCACTGCATGCGCCGAATTTCCTCGGCCTTTGCACGTTTGAGCTTGACGACTTCGTCCGCAAGAAGGCGGAGGGCCGTTGAATTTTGATGGCACTGCCGCCGAAGGGCAGTCACTTGATCTCGCATTTCCGCTGCATGGACGTCATGGAGGGTCTGCATCGTCGCCAGCTCCGAGTTAACATTCTCCAGGCAACGTTCAAGACCTTGGTGACCGGCGTTTTGTTTGTCCATCATGTCGTGCAGTCGCTATGGTAAACATCGTGTGATGAGAGCGCCGCCCGTGTCAGTCGCGATATATACCTGAAACATTTTGTTCAGCTGTGACGCCACGACCTGCGCCTCCAGCGCGTGCTTCTCCTCAAGCAAGGTTTGTCCACTGCTCAAAGCGTTGGCTAAGTCAAATGTCTACCATGGAGCGATGTCAGATAGTTGAGTTGCTCGAGGGATACTACTTGTGCTATTCGTAAATCGTGGTCGCTGTAATACGTCGTCCACTTCGCGTGAGCCTGTCGGAGCTGCTCTGCTAACGCATCATGAGCTCGACAGAGCGATGCAACTCGACGATCCGTCGCCTCCACTTGCGCCGCAATATCGTGATATCGATGATCGGTGTTGTGGTTGCAAGCGTCTTTGTCTGAAAGCTTTAGTCGCATCAAATCCTGTAAGGAATTGTTAAACCCACACCACGAGATGGTACATGCCTCGTTCATGGTTTGCAACGAGTGGTGTGACGCGACGCGCTGTTCGACCATTCCTGCGCGTGAATGTGTTGAAGGTACAACTGAAGCCTTTGATGACTTACCCAACCGAGCTTCAAAGTCTTGCGCGAAAGACCTCAGGATCTACATGACCATGAGCGGGCAAAGGAGACGGGATGACAAGCGACGACCTTGTCGGAAGCAGCTGCAACGTGCTGTTGATGCTTTTGTGTTTCAACTTGCTCAGAAGCCATGTTCTTCAGGGTGCACTGGGCATCAGAGTGCAATCGAGTGGCTGCATCAATCTTGGCATGCAACAAGGCCACTTGCTCGCGCACTTCTGCTCGTATCTGCACAGGGCATTGTAAATGGCGTCCATTGAGGGCACGCCACCTACTTTCATCAACTCGGCAACGAAAAAACTCGACTGTTGCTGGGTCGTGTACTGAGGCAGCACCGCATTGGCCTTGCAACTGATTGCCCCATAAGCCTCCCCCTCAAACGATGCCATGGATGCGCCGCAGGTCTCGGCTGCTGACTTGTGGCTCGATGTTCCACACAATGCCATTGGTCGACGTCAGACAGATTTCGATTGGCTAGAATTCTAAACGGCGGTTTCACTTCGCCGACGTTGTGCCACGTCACATTGCCCCATCGACACATCCATTGCGTGGTGCAAGTTGCACTCTGAAGGAGGAATCACACAAATGCATTCAATGACGAAGCGGCGGCCGCCCTCATTTAAGCATCGCCCTTCGACGATGGCGACAGGGGGTTGCTCACACAATGTACACGGGTCTTGCGGCGCTGAACACTACGGCTTCTTAGAACTGGTAAATGGCTCTGTACACTTCGTTACCGCGAGTGCGGATAGTTGACGCCGGCAGGACAAAATCTTGGCCCATTCCTTTCATCATGAGGATGGCGATGTGAACTCGCGGAACTCATTGTTAAAATAACCCGTCGTACCCCAGGTTCACTTGATAGTCGGGCGAGGGGTATGACCCGCATCACACGCTTCATACGGCGGCCGAGAGTTTGACACTTGGCGTCATATCCATTTCCCTGGGGGGTTCCTCGAGTCACCGAACGTGTTCAAGCTCAAGCTAGTGTCGGCGAGAGTGTCCATGGACAAATCCAACTTCCCCGGTGGCCTATCGATGCCTTTGCATTCGGTTTCCGACAGCGGGGCAGGTCCACGACACATTTCATCGGTGGGTTCAAGCAGACTGGGCTTGCCAAGGCCGCCCCAGGTGCGGTTCAAGTTGACTTGGTGCCGGTTACCACTCAGCTTGACGTTGCCTTTGACGTCGACAAAGTACACCTTGTACGTGTCCGCAGGGTGGGTTTGTTGTTGAAAATGTCGCCGAAGATGCCTGATGTCCACAATCGAATCACGTACAGCGACTGAAAGTACAGTGCTTGCCATGAATGTCAATGAGGTGGACATTGAGTTGACCATGGGTGCGAGCAATTGGGCGAAGGAGCAAGCTGGAAACCCTACGAAGTGGTCATGCTTTGCTTCGATGACGACGTCGTCAGAAACAACGTCGATAAGCTACCCATGTATGCGTGGATGAGTGTGCCATGAGTAGTAAGATTGAAGCTGTACCGACACAGCATCTCGGCCGATCTCTGATGCGAACAGCAAAGCTGACTGTTGGGAGGCAGCTGTGGGTGACGCGATTGGGTCGGTCCATGAGTCGCATGCTGCACGCTCCACACATGGCCTTGACATGCTTTACAAACGGACACCGCTTGACCCCATGAGCCTGGTAGGGTATGTATTTGCGTGCATGCTTCGTCGCCTCTAGGCTGTCAAGGCGTCGCACCAGTGGAATATCGTCCCAGGCAAACACCAGGCATGCTTCTATCGGGCCCTCAAGAGCTACCGAGTCATCCGCCGTGGAAGTCGTTCAGAACATTGTCGATTTATGTTGGCGACGACGACGTGGGGCGATCAAATGAGATTGAATTGCATTGTGACTGCTGCGCTTCCTGGACAACTCATGCGGCAAGCAGGAAGGGCCACGATCGAGTAGACGGTAATTGTAGAATGGGCTTAGTAGAAATAAAAAATTCTCTCCGTGACAGCGACGGTAGTCTGTCCTCACGTTTACGCTCCACTCGGCGTCAGCCCTGTACCTGTGCTCAGGTTTGCCTTGGTGTGATAGGTCATGTCAACGTCAAGGCCGCAACGCGAATCGTCCACCGTCGCCCGGCCAAACAAGTACGGTGAGGAGCGAGCGAGCCAATATGCCGCTGATATTCGCATAACAGTCTGCATGTCGGCAGGTAGAGACCGCGAGACTGACGTGGTTTTTCTACAAGATCACCTTCGGCTAAATTCACACCTGGTTTCATCTCAACTCATTGTCATCATTGGATTTGTGCCGACGCGCTTGAAGACTACATGCAGACTGCGGCAAGATAGGCGCAGTCACTGTCGCGTCAGCCGCCATGGAGACCTCGTCGCTTCCCTCGTGATGGGTCGTTTGCTGAGCATTGGTTACCGACACTTGTTCTAGGTCCTAATGTACAATGGGCGCTGGCCCAAATTTTCTTCTTCGGTCCAGAGCATTTACTTTGCCAACTGACCCTTCCCACGATCTCTTGAAGCGATGGCAGTGCGTCCGGACCGCGCCATCTTGACATGGCATCGATCGGTGATGAAATGTTCTATTCCGAATTCCCACCAATGAAACATTGCACGACCAAACCATGGATACGAAAGCAGCAAAGGACAGCGACTTCAAAATGGACATTCACACTGCGCTGCAACCACCCTAGCCCAACTGCGAGACATGCCGCAACGAGCATTCTTCACGCTTCACATCATGATCCGTTTGTAGTTTTTGTCTTTGGTGTCCAAGTGCTACGAGTTTGGGGCTCCTCCACCGACTATCCTGCGGGAGGAGGAGCGACATTTTCGTGTCTGTTGGACGTTCGATGGAATTCTAGTTGTCGCCATCACTTGGTTTCAATATAGCATGTCATCCGCCTGAATTCGTTCGATTCCCTATCACAACCTATAACCTCGTAGAATGCATATCCGACTAAATTGAATTCGTTGTACCAATGGTCCAGTTCCGACACCGGTTTGGAGAATATAAGGTTTCAGAGGATATATCGCTTGAAGCGACAATAGCCTCGGATCGGTGGCGACGAGATCGACGACGCTCGAGACACAACGCACGCTTCATCGCTTCACTCGACGTCATCGCCATGGAGGAAAAACCATTGCATCATGCAATACTTAAGTACAGGCATCTGAATGACAGAAAGCACTCGTCGCAACCTACCGCGAATGGCATGATCGGCGCGTCGGCCACCTCCACGTCCGACGCAGCGTCCGCCACATCCACAGGTACCTGAAGAACTTTGCTCGTGTCGAATGCAATGCAAGGAATCATGCATGACGTCGTGCATTCCAGTGCGCAAGAGACAACCCTATTCGTACCAAGACCATACAAGCGTAGTCGGGCAATTGCTTGGCGCCACATCGGGTATGGACTTCGGTGCATGCCGTGCTCTCGTCGACTCAGCAAGGCATCTAGGTGCGCGAAAAAGCACCGTATCGTCGCTCAATGGATTGTATCTACCAACGACGGCGAGTAGCAATGGCGGACTGTTGCGGCCGGCGGCATCGTCTAGCCTCCACCATCATCATCATCATCATCATTCGAACCATCACATCTCGCCATCGACAACAAACGAAGGGTTTCAGTACGAAGAAGCTTTCAATCGGGGCAAGAGACACGTCGAGAAGAAGGACTACAAGCGCGCCGTGTCTGAGTTTTCTGAAGCGATCACGATCTCCCCGAACAAACTCAAGGCGTACATCCAGCGAGGCGACTGCTACGTCAACACGGGGCGCTTTCAACCCGCGATAGACGACTTCTCCAAAGTCATACAGATGACCCCTGCCAACGCCGATATCTTTGCGAAACGGGCAAAGGCGTTTGAAAAAATGCACAAGTTTGCAGACGCAATTGCCGACTACAGCCAGGCCATCGACCTCAGCACGTCGCCGACTAAGGTCCGGGAGATGTATTTGGCTCGCGGCCGCGTCTTCATGTCGATGAACAGCCTTGCACAAGCGCTGGACGATTTCACGGTGGCCGTGGAGCTCGATCCACGGTCGGATGTTGCTCTCTTTGAGCGCGCGAGTGTGTTTGCTCAACTGAAAAAGTATGACCTAGCGCTGCACGACCTCGACAAAGTCATCGAGCTCGAGAGCAAGCCTGGTCGCACCGTGCGGCAAGAGTCGTGGCTCGGTCGAGCGCACATGTTGCTAAAGCTTGCCGACGAGGAGGAGCACACTTACATCGCGGATGAGTCTGCTGCATCGACCGAGGCCGGGTTTGGTGCGAACGACCCCTTGTCGGTCTTCCACGTCGACCGCGAGTCTGCGCTGGACGTCCAGCACACGTCTCCAAATCAGAGCGACGCCGCCAAGAGCTACGTCTTTCGCGCGATCAAGGACGTGACGAACGCGTTGGAGGCGGAGCCGGAATCGGTGAGTCTCTTGGAGATGCGAGGCGAGGGGTACCTTCGAGTTGGCGATTTCCACAACGCTCTCGTCGACTTGAACGCCGCGATTAGTCGCGATTCCAAGAATGCGTCGTTGCTACTGCTGCGGGCGATGGTGTTCAAGTGCCAGGATGCGCATCTGTCCATGGTGCCTCTCGCCCGAGCGATCAATCAAGTCACGCGGGTGATCGAGCTGTCGACGAACGCTCACGAAGCATACTTTGCACGAGCGAGGCTGCACGTTGAAAACCACTCGATCGAACTCGCTGTTGAAGATCTCAGTGCTATTGTGGAGATGTATAGCAATGCGCTTCAGCGCAAGGAAGAAACCAAGGGCACGGCGGGATTGTCGACAGGTGCCAATCCGCTTGTGGATGGCCACGACGGCGGCACTGCCTTTGCTTCGTCGCTACATTTCCGCCAACAGCACGCCGCGCCAAGTCCCACGGACATTGCGCTGAGAGCACTGCTTTGCCGTGCGCGATTGTACATGATGTGGCAAGGCAGCGCCAAAGCAGTCGGCGTCAAGGAAGCGATGGCCGACTACCAGCGGATATTGTCGGTGGCCCCCGGCAACCTGGATGCGCAAATGGAGCTGCAAGTTGCCAAGGATGTTGAGGAGAAGTCGCAAGCGGACCTTTCTGCAGCCGCATTCGAATGGCTGATGAAGCACGGAAATGGTGAAAGCACCAGCGGAGGGAGTGCGTCGATGAAGGATCAGCACAGCGCGGAGGGTGGGAAAAGAGCGTCGAAGAAGAAGAAGAAGAAGGGTCCAAAGCAACTGCCACCCACGCCAGACGCCGTGCAAGTTGCAACAGAGCCTGTACCTCGGATCGTGCTCCCTCCACCGATGGTGGTGGTGGATCCAGTGCCTCCAGCGTCCCAGCCATCCCCTTCGACATCAAAACCCCCCACTCCCCCAACGAATCGACGACTCCTGTCCGCAAATGGCCAACAACAACTACCTCCCACCCCAATGTGTACCCGCGACGAGGCGTGCGAAAGCATGAGCGAAGCAGAAGTTGCGCCAAAGGACCAGCGACGAGCGATTTCTCCGACTGTGTCGACCAACTTGGTATTTCACTTTTCGCTCACGGAAAACGATGAAGACGCTGCTGCCAATTCTCCGCCTGCCGTCGAAGCGCTAGCTGTCACTTCCACTACTCCTCCCACCGTGATAACCACCCGAGACGTGGCCACGGGCAAGCCATCGAGGGCGACAACGAGCCCGCCAGTCATCGCCTCTAACGGCAGCCTAGACGATGCTGCGTCGATGGACGATGAAGAAGCGGTCGACTTTCATGGAGAGCGCATTGCGACGACGCCTCTGTCGATGTCTTCGTCCGACATTTTGATGGACGAGCGGTATTTGAAAAAGCGCAAGAGGCAGCTCGAGAAACTGCGGCAAGATCTCGTGGATGCTTGTGCGAGGCGCCAAATCGACCAAATCAACGACGCGATTGTCCGCGCTGCGCGCAAACAAATGCACGACCAGTTGGTCGATGAAATCCACACAGCCAAGCAGTTGCTCGAGGTGCTCCAGCAAGCACCTCCACCCGACGAAGGAGCTGGCGACGACACGGTTGGAAACGACAAGGGTGGCGACCACATTGACGCGGACAACGCGGGGGCGCCACAGGCTACAAAAGGATCGACAACGGCGGAAGGGACGAAGGGGTTGGCACCAGCTTCCTCTCCAAAATCCAAATCGTCGGCACCGACAACACCCGACAAAGTGAAGGCAAAATCCCCCATCCGATCCCTTCCAACGACCAACACGTCGCCAGGCGTTGTCGCCTCAAGGATACCCACAGGAGACGGAGGTCGAGACGCGAAAGAGACGGACGCTCACATCGTGATGCTTCAAAGCCAGCTCGAAGCGATGCAGCTGCAGTATACGAGGTGTCGCATGGACCTGGAGCGGATTCAAGTGCAGCTCAAACCAGCACTCAACTACAACTTGACCGTTCCATTTGCCCATAAACTACAAGGCATGGAGCGGTGCATGCGGCCGTTGAACCCGTCGATTCTCGGGTGTCCGGCGATGCGCCAAGTCGACGCCATGATCAATCAAGCATTTGGACCGACGCTGGAGTCCCAACGAGTACGGGCCAAACTCCTGCGGTATCTTCGGCATGTTCTCGACCAGAGCCACTGCTTCTACCCGTGTACTCCGTCGGGATCGTACCCGCTCAAGACATATTTACCAGACTCGGACATTGACGTATGCTTGGAAGTCCCGGATGCTGCCGCCGCCGCTACGTGGCATTTGGCCGTAACACAAGCCCTGATCGGGGCTGCGACTCCCGATGTCCGGTCTACGCCGGCATCCCTTGCGCCCGATCCCGCCAGCGCGGTTGGCCCATCTTCATCTGTGGTCGCGTCGGCTCCGGAGATCTTCAACTGCACCGTGCGCAACGTGACCTTTATCAACGCCGAAGTCCGCGTCGTGAAATGCACGATCGACAACGTGTCGATTGACTTTACCGCCAACAGGTTTGGGGCGTTGGGCGCGCTGTCCCTACTCCATGAAATGGATGCTCGAGTGGGTCACAACCACTTGTTTAAGCGCAGCTTGATCTTGATCAAGTCGTGGGCGATGTACGACAGTTGCCGGTTCATCGTGGGGCCAGGGCGCAGCAACATTTTGGGCGCCGTGTCGGGCGCGCTGTCGACGTTTGCGCTCAACACGATGGTCATGTGCATTTTCAACTTGTACGGGAAGCGCATTGTCCATCCGCTGCAAGGCCTGATGGAGTTCCTCCACATGTTTGCCGACTTTGACTGGCAATACCACGCCGTGAGTTTGTTTGGCGCGGTGCCGATAGCGTCCCTGAACAACTCGTCGCCGTCGAAATCAAAGGACACGATGCTGATTGACGAAGCGTTCGTGGCCCAGCTCAAGGCCAAAGTCGACCAAGTGAGCAGCCCCGACGTCAAGCCGCCGACGGTACTGCCGTTCCAAGTCCGTGCCTGCAATGTTGTAGACCCCCTGAACGAATCCAACAACGTTGCGCGCAGCGTGACAGCCGACAATCTGGCAGAAATGAAGCAAGCGTTCCAGGGTGCTCGGCAAGCGCTCGTCGATATCTTTTACGAGGGGTGGCAGAGCGCCGAATACAACAGCTCGGCAAACGATGACGTGCACGCCGAAGATATTTTGGCACACGTCGAGCGTGTGGATACGTTGTTTGCAAACGGGATGCAGATGTACAGCAGTGGGTGGCGGCCCGACCTGCTCGTCCATCCGAGGCAGCTCTGGCATGGCCCGGCCATGCACCTCGGTGGGGGAGGTGCCGACGACACCGACGTGCTGCAGACCCAAATTCCCGACATGTTCCGATGATAGAAATCCGCCCACGAATAGAAGGATGTTTTAAGTTGGCTGCTTGTTGAAAACACCACGGGGTGGCACGAGGATGATGGAAGTGGCCAACCGCGAGTGCCATCCATGAGACAAGGTGGGGGCACAACGAACGAGCCACAGTGGCTTGGATCGAATGGCCGGGAAGGATGTTCTGGTGTCGACGGCGCGCGCGGAAGTTGGGCGAGTACGGGTTGCAAACACACTCGCACTGCTTCCATCTAGGGATGAGTGCTTCTCACCAGGTACGTAGGCCACAGCTTAGCCCCCCCCCCGCCGCCAGCGGATTGGAGACGTAGCACGTCCACCATGAAGGTTGCTTTGCCGCTGCTGCAACTGAACCCCCCACGCTCCTCCATGTGGGCATTTCAGCTGTGCCCGGTAATCGAGGGCAAACTCGGGTACTTCGGATCAACGGGTGGCCACAATCATCGAATTGTGCATTTGCATGACCTCGCAATGTCCACCAAATCTGGAGCACTGCTCATATTCATGGGCTATTGCGCCGTCGCGCACAAGCACTTCATCCAGGCGTCGCTCATATCCAGCACGAGCTAGTGGTGGGTCTACTGCCGCCATTGTGTTCTGGCCATGGCTGCTGCCGCTGCAGCTAGCAACGACACCACCACCAACCAGCCACAAACTGTCATTGCGAAAGAAGTCGACGAAGTCATGGAGATCTTCCCAGTGCACACAGCAGCACCCGTCGAAGGGGAACTACCCGTTCCGTTGGTTGGGCACCGCAGTGTCATAAAGGCGGACCTGGCATACAGTGTCGTTGCGTCCCCGATTCCAGCCGTCCCGATCGTCAAGCGACTACAGTAGCGGGAATGCGCGGCGTGTACTGCGCGATGGCAGAATGGGCCGACTTCCACTGCCTAAAGAAGAAGCGTGCTCCATCGCGATGGATTCGCGTGCATCTCACCATGCATTTTTGTTTCGTGCTTGGATACGTCACAAAACTACCTCCCGTCATGTGCTCGGCTCGGACGCGTACAACGCGAAGGAGCGCATGTTGCCGCCAGAAGAATCTGCCGGTCGCAAAAGAACACAAGTGGCGGCACCTTTCGTGCAATGCCAGCATGTTGCCGATAACTTGCCAAAAGGACCAAACCGACCATGTCCACGTTGTCGTCCCGAGTGTACCGACAGCGTGGTAACGTGTGAAAGGGCAAGTCGTGCACCGACGCACACGCGGTCCTTTCAGACGTGTACCCCGACCCTTTTGGATCATGCACACGATGCAAACGCACTGGGCCATCCCTGTCAACACATGCGCCGCCGCCATGTCATCAAAGACATTGCATTTTCGTGCGACGAAGACAATGAAAAGGACAGTGGTGGTCTCGCCATGGCGGTCGCACTTCGGCCACTCTGGCGTGCCCTGCTGGGCACCTCAGTCCAGCAGTGCCAGCCGCCGAAGGGTGCAACGATGCGCTGGTCCACTTCACGATCGAGTATAGCTTGGTGTTCTCGTGGGTCGAATCAAAAGAGCGAGTCTTTCCCGCGTCGCTCGCGTCGCAGCATGAAACTCGCAACGATCATCTCGCGCGCCGCGTGGAGAGCCAGCAACAGGTTTGGTCAAGGCAAACCCTGGTGCTTCAACCCTCCCTCACTCACCCGGCCATGATGGGTGGCAATGACATATTTGATGCATAGCTCGTCCAGCAGCGAACGCCGGACCTAGACACGCTGACGTAGCCCTGTCGCGCCGTTGACCTGGCGATGGTCGCACGAATTGGTCAGGACCGAGACGCAATTGTCGCGGTGGTGCTTCCTCCTTCCGTCGTCAACGTGCGCAAGATTCACTCGGTGGCACACACGTATTGCAACGAAAGTGTCGAGCCAGCCTTCCACTCGCTCATGCAGACCGAACTCTATGACGACATGGTGGCGCAGAGGTTGCGGGCTGCATTGAAGTTGGCACTTCAGTGCCTGCGGTTCAACTTGTACCCGTGGCAACAACTATCTATAACGATCACATTATCCGCTCGGTCTGGACTGTGGCATCGCCTTGACAGCGTTGGGGCGCACTAGTCGTCGTTGGGCTTAGCAAACCGACGCACAGCTGCTCAAGCTCGCGGGCAAACGGTGGAACCGCCTATTGGCAAACTCCTCAC